AGAAGTGTCTGGTTGAGCCAATGAAAATCATTGAGAGAAATGATTATTAATAACCAATGATTTAGAGAGACTCAGAGTTCCCCCTTTTTCTATTATCGTCGTTTCAAGACCTCAGTCTTAGAAGGTTGAGCTAACCTTCTCTATCTGACCCCACTTAACCTTACAAGGAATCTCTGTAATCTCTAGTCTAAGGTAAGGTGAGTTCCACTCAATCAAGCTGAGGTGGAGATAGATCCTTTTGTCTAGAATGCCCAAGGCTGGGGGTGGTCTGGGTATAGGGATAGTCTCTTGGTCCAGAAGTGACAAGTCACTAGCAGCCCCTCTTAGGAGTTAGCTCACTTCTCTTTGTAAAGCCCACCTTTCATTGTTAATCAATCAGAGCTGAATGCTGTCTGATGGAATGCCTCTTGTCCAAGGGCATATAAACCTCAAAAAGTGGCCATGTTTGCTCTTTGACCAATGAGAGGATAAGAAGCCCTTTTTGTCGATCATATGCTGGCTGTGATTAATAAAACTGATTATAATTTACCCAAAAACTTTGTCTCTCGAGATTATTTTATTTGCCACATCATTAATCTTTATGGATGATATTCTGTGTTTTCTTGAATTGATTATTCTATCAGAATCAGAGCTCAAAGGGACCTTAGAGATCATCTAGTTCAACAACAGCAATTATTGCTCAAGGTCAAACAGAGATTAAGGTCAAGATTCGAACCTAGATCCTCTGACTTGTAATAGCAGCTCCTGATTCCAAATCCAGTGTTCTTTTTTCACTAGACTCTGATTTCCTTTCAGTTTTCTCTTCCTTTTTTACTCTCAGGTCTGTCATAGCTCTTAGGTTTTGCTGGAATGTCTTGGCTGTTTGCCCAGAGTTTAAACAACAGTAGGTAGAGACCGGAACCTTTGGTGGTGAACTCTCACTCAGGAATGTGCTTCCTTAAACAGTGTGCTTAAGGTTGAGCTCTGAAGCTTTCAAGTAGAAATGTAAAATATACTTGTTCAATCTAGTTTTTGATATATGTGATTGAGAGGTTGAGATAAAGGTTTTTCGACTAACAGAAAGTAAGGGACGCATTCATTCTGTTCAATATTTTTAATTTTGGAGGTGGCACCTTCTATAAAAGGTTCTCAAAATCTGGTCCAGGAACCCATGATGGTTCAAAAGACTTGCAGCTTATAAGATCAGAACTATTTTCATAATAAGATTTAAATGTTTCTAATATTTTAAGTATTGATTTAACCCATATAAACAAAACTCTTTAGGTACAGGGGATAACCCACATTTTTTTTTAAGAATGTAAAGAGAAAAAAAAAGAACATAAAGGGGTCCTGAGATCAAAAGTTTGAGAAGCGATGTTAGGTACAATATTACATGATAAATAATACAATTAAGAAAAGAAGATAATATAAAAATAATTTAACTTCTCTCCTATTGTTTTTATCACTTAAGTTTTAACAAGGAAAAAAAATTATATAGTAATGATAGGTGAGTTTTCTCCTTATTTTGGTGGAGCTCTGGCCTCAGTAACTCTTCCCAGGTACTTTCTGACCATTTCTACCCCCACTGGAAACTTGGACTTGACCCCTTAGTTTCCTAACTCTGATATTAGCTTTTGCTTTATGTGGGTGACTTTGGTCCAGACATCTCCTCATTATGTCTGACTTCCCTTTCCACCCCTCTCCTGCTTTTCAGCACCCCTATATGTATTAGAATGTAAGCTCCTTTTGGGTAGGACTGGCTTTTGAAACTCCATCAACCCAAGAACTTTAGAGTTAGAGAGCTGTTTAGGTCACTAGTTTAGTTAAGTGCTCAGGGTCAGATAGCCTAAGGCTAACTGTGGGGCCAGCATGCAGTCCACTAAGCCACAATGCCTCTCATCGTAAATAGATTAGTAGTGATATTGGAGGCAGAAGTGATGCAGAAGAATGAACAATGAATCATGTATCAGAAAACCTAATTCTTTTCTCAGCTATACCATTTATCAGCTGTGCTACTTTGGATAAAATAACTTAATGTCTTTTAATCTCAGGTTTCCTTATCTCTAAATGGAAATAATGCCTGGTTCAACGTAATTATAGCAAAGACCACTCAGTTCCTTTTGCTTTTAAAAAAGAGACTAACACTCTAAAATTCTGTCTCTTTAGAAGGAAAGTGATTTCATCAGCCTATATAGCATCCAATGTGCAGGTGATAACAGCAACATTCAGAGTGCTTCAGTAACTTTCTACCACTCAAAACATTCTTTAAAAAGAACAAGTTTTTGCTTGAGGTAGCTGATATTTTTTGGCAGCCAAGTTTTATATTTAACAGTTTTGACAGTGGTAAAATGCCAAATAAACATAGTATTATTAGATTCAAATCTATAGCAAGTCTTTCTCTAAATTTCCATGGTTAAAACAATTTAAAGCTTGAAAACATGGAGACAACTTTGCTCGTGAAAACTCTTCCCCCAAAAGATCTAATTTTTTTATAGTAGGTTTATTTTATTTTATTTTTAATTTACAGAATAAAACAAGCATTTCCATAACATAGTACAATAAAAAAGATGATTGTACATGAAACAGCAAATCTATTATGTACAACTTGCTATTCCTTTCAAATATACAACAAAATTATCATGTAAACTTTTTTCCCCTGCTTCTCGCACCCCCTTCCCCTCCTTTCAAATAAAGAAAATGCTATGGGTTTCTGGCCGGGGGAAGAAGTAGCAGCATCAGATTTCACCACCTGGCTCCCATGTAGGTGTGAATGTATTTTATTGCTGTTTGTTTTATCTATTTTTGTTTATTCTTTTCTGATCTTAAATGTATTAGTATTGGAGATGAAATGAATCAAATTACAACTTTGTGAGCTTTGAAAAGTGGGAAGCCCATGAAAAGTCCCCTCTGCAACTGGAGCTGGTAGCAGTAGCAACTGAGTCTGGTGTGAAACAAACTCTGAGGCTTAAAGATCTCCAAGACCTAACAAAACCAACCTAGTAAAATCAAGCCCCAACTTTAGACAGTGTAAGCAAAATCTGAAGTATATTTGTTCAGAGGGAATGTTTTGTAGCAACCAGTTTAAATCTGAGTTCACTCTTCCCAGGAACTAAAATATATAGAGATATGTTTTCAGTATGGAATGTTGTTTTACTTCGGTCCTTTGCATAATTTCTCACTAAATACCCTTTTATAAAAGCTAATTAATATTAAGAGGTTAATTGATATTTAGTAAATGGTAACTAGTCAACTGATATTGGGGAAAACACACTAGATGATGTTCAAGAGCTATACTACCAGATAATTCTAAACCCTTAGGGGTTTCTCCTAGCAAGAGTGGGGTTGGGGAAGTGAGACACAAAGCTGTACTTACAAGACAATTTGAATTGTTAGACAGAAGTCATTCATGAAGAACTGAAGTGGGGAGGCAGTGTGGTATACTAGAGAGAGATCTGGAATCAGGAAAATCCTGCCTCTGACACTTTCCAGCAAGTCATTTAACCTCCTTCTCTCTATGTCATAGCATTGATGTGGTCTTCCAATGAGAAAATAAATGGATGCAAAAACCAAAAATAAGGAAAATATTTTTTAAAAGAAACTGAAGGCACTTTGGGAATTTGTCTGTAGTTTCATGTTGGTCCCCTTGGAAGCATCTTTGTAAGGTAGGTGATAGAAATTTGCTCAGACTTCCATAGTAGAAATCATCATATCAAGCCTTTTTTTGTAGCGTTTTCTTAGAGAAAATTGTCTATTTAAATTTTTTATGTAAAATACTCTTAATAGTCTTAACTTGCTCTCTGGCCCATCCATGATGAGAATGAAGACCTTTCTAAGCAACCAGACTGTTGACATCTCTCTGAAGGGCAGGATAGTTAATATGAAGGGCCCCAGAGGAATCCTGTGAAGGCATTTCAACCATATCACAATGTTGAGCTCAGTCTCCTTGAAAAGAAGAGAAACAAGCTCCAGGTTGACAAGTGGTGGGAAAATCAGAAAAGAATTTGCAATAGTTTTCACAGCCTATGGTTATGTGTAAAACAAGACCCAAGAGGTCACCCTTAGTGCAAGATGAGGGTTATGTATGCTCACGTCCTCATCAACATAAGTCACTGAAATTGTTATTCAAGGGAATGTCTCACTTGTTGAAAGCAGAAATTTGAAAAAATATATATATATATCTGAAGAATATGCACAAAACCAAGTATTGATTGTGCTGTTTCTCAAGCCCCAAAAGATAAGTTTAATTCTTGAAGGAAATGATAAAAACAAAAACAAAAGAACAACAACCAAAAAACCCCCAAGATGTCAGATAATTTCTGGATGGCATCATTCTTTCTGAGTAAGGCATAGTACAACAGGCTGAAGAATCTTGACTTCTTGACATTTGTCCATTTTAAGAAATAGTATAAACATAGTTTCACAGAATGTTTTGCTAATCCTGTTTTGTTCTTGTTCAGTATATGAAGTATGGCCAAGTATGCTTTCTGAGTTCTAGACAATCAACAGAACAATAAATCAAGCACTCAATTTTTTAGCATTTTGAATTTTTAAGGTATAAATGCTTACAATGAATATTTAACAATTTGTTCTCCGGAGACAGTTCAACCTGGCTCCAGCACACCCCTAAATATGACTCTAAAGTAGTAAGATCTCACATCAAAATTAGTCTTGTTACCTTGTATTGATTCAGTTATAGGTTCAAATAGACTGAATAGATAGTTTCCTATTTTGCTTTTTTAACTTTGCCTTTGTAAAATAACGTTTCTTTTTTGTAGCTTTAGTTTGCTTATTTGTCGTCATTGGTTGACATAAACTGGAAGTCACCAATAAGGGAACTTTCCCTCAGCCACTTCAATCATGAAAACAGTCATAAAAAAGAGAAGAAAGCAGTCATGTAACAAGTGTTCTGAGAGTGACAACTATATGATAATTATGGGTTTACAACTAGAATATCAGTGAGAACAGTTACTGAAGAGTACACACTGGGGTATATAAAGTGCCTTTGGGTTCTTGAGACTCACCTGATGGTTGTATTTGTGCTGTTCTCTTAGGATAGGTCTTGCTCCGACTTCTTTCCACTTTCTGATTGGGCCGAGGGAGAGGAACAGAAAGATCTCGGCTCATTTGTAAGGCTGTCCTGCCATTTAAAAAGTGACATTTTGATGAATACAAGCAAAATAAAAAAAAGTTTTTTAAAGCAAAGATACACTCAAAACGTCTGTGAAATCTGAAGAACAGAGGGGTGAAGGCTGACTTAGCTATACTTAAATGCTTACATGAAACCTCATGGAAGTGGCAACTGTTATTTTACTCCACTAGGACAGTACAAGAAGCAGACTTAAATTCCAGGATTTACATTTGGTACAGTGATGGGTTTCTGACTGGCAGAGAGGTTTATTAAATGTTAGAAGGAGTCACTGAGTGAGGATTTTATTTCAGGAGAGGTAGAGTTTTAATTACAGTTCTACAGCTCAAAAAAAAAAAAAAGAATTGAGTCTATTTGACTTTTCCCCTGTCATTTTTCCCCTGTCAAATGCCCTGAGGCATTTAACTCATTTTTGTTTTCATTTACATGGCAAGTTGCAAAGCATTCCCAACTGTTTTATTCAGTGTGCTTTTGTTTTTAGCTCTTTATTTGACCCTATGCCAACCTCATCTGGGCTTGGTATTGAGCCTGGGGAGAGCAAAAGAAGTGGCTCTGGAACCTACTTGGAACCATCCTTTAGTGAAGAGTAAGAGTAGCAAATGAAATTAATTGTCTCACATAATTTCATCATGTAATTAGAATGCTTTAATTTTTTTGCTGAAGTTCCAAAAACATTCATCATATTAGGAGGTAGCATTTATTTAGTGCTTTAAGGTTTACCAAGTGCTTTACAAATATTCTATGATTTAATCCTTACAACAGCCCTCAAAGGGAGAGTCTATTATTAAAATTCCCATTTTAAAGATGAGGAAACTGGGGTAGACAGTGTTTAAGTAACTTGCCCAGGGCTGTACAGCCATTATGTATGGAGCCAAATTTGAACTCGGTTCCTCTTGATTCCAGGTCCAGCATTCTATCCACTGCACCACCTTCAAATGCAGCCACAGATACTTGTTGGCTATTTGGTCCTGGGGAAGTTAAAATTTAACTTCTATCTCAGTTATTATTTTTATATATTATCATTATTTTTTAAATTACTCTTTATTCTGTTGAACAAGGTAAAGGGGAAAAGGAAGGAAAAAATAACCAAGAAACATTACCTATTGGGAAGAAGAACCCCAGGTGATAGTCCCCTACAGTATTTTTTGAATATTAAGAATTTTTTTGTTTCCACCTAATCTTTTTTTTGGGGGGGGAGGCATTTTTAAAGGAAATCATGGCTAAAGGTTAAATGGGTAAAGTTTAGAGGAGGATAGTTATTTGGTTTTAATGGCATTTCTTTAAAAGCCTTTTGTTGGATTTAGGAACAAGTTGTATTAACTGGGCATGACTTTTATTTACTTATTTATTTTTAATTAATTATTTTTTTTTTTTGGCTAGGCAATGGGGTTAAATGACTTGCCCAGGGTCACACAGGTAGTGAATGTTATGTGTCTGAGGCTGGATTTGAACTCAGGTTCTCCTGACTCCAGGGCCAGTGCTCTATCCACTGTGCCACCTAGCTGCCCCTGGGCATGACTTTTAGATCATGTGTTCATACCTCAAAGAGAAGTCTGTGAACTTATTGTTTTAATTTTTTTTTCTAATTACATGTAAATATACTTTTTTACATTTTTAAAAAAAATTTTGAGCACCAAATTTTCTCCCTCCTTCCCTCAGCTGACCCCTTCCTAAGTCAGTAAGCAATTTGATGTAGGTTATAGATGTACAATCATGTAGCACGTATTTCCATATTAGTCATATCTGTAAAAGAAGAAACAGACTAAAAGAAAAAATCATGAAAGAAATAAAGTGAAAATAGTATGTTTTGGTCTACACTTATACTTCATGAGTCCTTTGGAATTGTCTTGGGTCATCGTATTGCTGAAAAGAATTAAGTCATGCATAGTTGATCATCACATAATGTTGCTGAACTATGTACAATATTCTCCTGGTTCTGCTCACTCCATTTTGCATCAGTTCATATAAGTCTTTCCAGATTTTCTGAAATCTACCTGCTCGTCATTTCTTATAGCACAATAGCATTCCATCACATTCATGTACCACAACTTGTTTAGCCATCCCCCAACTGTTGGGCATCCTCTCCATTTCTAACTGCCACCACAGCAAAAGCTGCTATAAATATTTTTGTATACATAGGTTCTTTTACTTTTTTTATGATCGCTATGGGACATTAGACTTAGTATTGGTATTGCTGGATCAAAGAGTATGCAGAGTTTAATAGCCTTTTGGGCATAGTTCCAAATTGCTCTCCAGAATGGTTAGATCAGTTCACAACTCCACTGACAGTGCATTAGTGTCCCAATTTCCCCACATCCTCGCCAGTATTTATCATTTTCCTTTTCTGTTATATTAGCCAATCTGAGAGGTATTAAGTGGTACCCTCAGAGTTTTTTTAGTTGGCATTTCTCTACTCAGTAATAATTTAGAACATTTCTTCATATGACTATAAATTGCTTTGATTTCTTCATCTGAACACTGTCTGTTCATATACTTGGACCATTTATCAATTGGGGAATGGTTTGTATTCTTATCAATTTAACTCAGTAATATGCTTGAGAAATGAGGCCTTTATCAGAGATAATTGTTGTGAAAATTGTTTCCCAGCTTTCTATTTTCCTTTCAATCTTGGTTGCATTGATTTTCTTTGTGCAAAAACTTTTAAATTCAATATAATAATTTCGTATTTTACATTTTACATTTCTTGATGATCTCTTATCTCTTTTTGTCCTAAATTCTTCCCTTCTCCATAGATTTAACAGGTAAATTATGCCCTGCTCTCCTAATTTGCTTATGGTATCACCCTGTACCCATTTTGACCTTATCTTGGTATATGGTCTAAGATGTCGGTCTATGTCTAACTTCTGCCATATTGTTTTCTACTTTTCCCAGCAGTTTTTGTCAAATAGTGAATTCTTATGCTGGAAGCTGGGGTCTTTAGGTTTATCAAACACTAGGTTACTATGGTCATTTACTACTGTTTCTTGAGCACCTAATCTATTCCACTGATTTAAAATTTTAGTTCTTAGCCAGTACCAGATAGTTTTGATGATTACCACTTTATAATATACTTTGAGATCTGGTGTGGCCAGACCACTTTCCTTTGCATTTTTTTTTTCATTAATTCCCTTGGTATTCTTGACCTTTTGTTCTTACAGATGAGTTTTGTTATTGTTTTTTCCCCTATTATTCCTATATAAAATAATTTTTATTAATTTGACTGGTATGTCACTGAATAAGTAAATCACTTTAGACAGAATTGTATTTTATTTTTTCTAATTACATGTAAAGATAATTGGTGTTATGGTAAGCCCTGGGGCCTGGTCCTATGCCAGGGCCATGGGAAGTGTGTGTGGGGGGGAGTCCTGGCTGCTAATCTGCTGCTGCAACAGGGCAATGGAGCTCAGAGCCTCATGCTGGCTTGCTGAGGCAGGATCTACTGCTGGTTTGCCAGGACACTGCTTGCCTTGGACTATGCTCCCCTTTTATCTTGGTGAGTCAGACCTTTCCTGTGGACTACCTTCCAAGTTGTACTGGCCTAGAAAATTGTTCCACCTCATCTTTTTGTTGGTTTTGCTGTTACAGAATTCATTTTGAGGCACTATTTTATAGTTATTTGGAGATAAAATATGGGAGGCAATTTCCTGCTTATTCCACCATATTGTCTCTTGGAAGATCCTATGAAATTATCTTTTAAAAATAAGTAAATGGTTTCCTTTTTAATTCAGTGTATTTTATTTTATGCATTTAAAAACATTATTATAAGAATAGGCCTGGGGCCCTTGACTTGACCATAGTTCCTTGACATCATTATAGGTTAACCCCTGATTCTAGGAAGAGATTTTGACCCTGTGGATTTCCCAAGGCAAAATCTAGAAGCTGTCCCTTTAAATCTTAAAAAGAAACAATCTACCAACATGTGTATGCATTTTCATATTTATCTTCAAATTTAAATAATGGAAGAACCAATGATTTTGTTAGCATATGGGACTCCCAGCCTGGGAAGTTCCAGAAAGCATTCCAGAAAGCAAACCATCAATTTATTACATAAGTTATCTGGAGTTGCTTGGTGGCACTCTATATTAATTTATATAGATGCAGGTAAAAGTATTCTGTACATCTATAGATAGATACATATGAAAACTATATAGTATCAAATAAAAATCATATCTAAATTGGTTCCTGATTTTACAAGTATAGATCTACATATAGCCACTGACATAAACATATGTATTTGTGCATATATATAAATATGCATTTGATATACATTATTGTCTATATGATATATATACATATATGTATCAAACATTTACCTGTATCGGTGTTTATAACTCATGGAACCAAACTTGCTGAGTTTTCTTGACAAAGAATTTGATTCATTTTCTGGTATCCTAAGTGATTTAGAAAATAAAGAAAAATAGTGCTAGACAAATATATACATTTCTGTATCATTTTATCAAGATATTCAGATAATTATAGGATAACACTTTGTTAGAGTGGTTAGATGAATAGTTCTATTTTCTTAGCCTGAGATGCATATGTAAATATAACATGAATGCATAAGCTTTTTAAAGAATATATAATCTCAGTTTTAAGATTCTCCTGGAATCAGCTGACTTTCTCAAAATTTCTTGATCTTTGACCAACAGCAGTTAATTACATTTGTATTTTACAATGGATAATCAATTTTTATAAAATGGGACACAAATATCATTCTTGGAATGCCCTCAAAAGATTGTTATTATCTGAGCTCCTTACCCTATTTCTTTTAAATTACTAGTAATATACTACATCACATTCCTAATTCAGAATGTGAAATTTTTCTTTTTAAAAAAAAAAAAATCCCACTTGTGTGTAATGTTCTTTAAAACATTTGATCCACAAGAGTGCTCTCAGACAGTGATGCGCAATGGTTAAATATTAACAGAGTTATGAAAGTTTTAGATTATGATATTTTATCACTTAGATTATGATATCATTGACCATTTCCCCAAGATGTACATGGGTTATGATTAGCTTTTTATATGCATATGTATGCTTGTATATACATTTTATGTTTGCATATATGTATGCTTGAAAGACAACATGGAGATGACTAAAGATTTTTGAGAAATAATTATGAATCTTCTTTGAAATTAGGATATTTTCTTGAAAACATCCCTTTGATCAGATTATCACAATGAACAAAACTTTTATACTTTACCTAAAGAATGTGTGATGCTCAACACAACCCTTCCAGAGATGTTTACAAGTGCTTTTACTTGGGGCTTCAAAAAAGAATGAGGTTTCATTGCACTGAAATAAAAAACAATAAGAATTACTCATGTAATTACAAAATGTTAATTCTACAGAAAATTCTCCTTTGTTACAAAATACTCAAATATATAAAGAATAGTTGAAAGTGTGAGTATTACTCCCTCTACTATGCTTTAACAGTCTTGATGAGTTTCTAAAGCTGAAAAAAAAAAAAGAATCATTATTTACTAGCCAATACTTTGGTGAGATAAAGAATGGTAATTGTGAATGTGAAAGTGAATTAAACTACATGTGATGTTTATACTGATATAATTCTGTGGTATCTGATAAAGGGAAAAAATGAAATTTTCTTATTACCATAGTCATAGAATCTTAGATTTAGAGCAGAAAGGAACCATCTAGTCTAATCTTCATTTTATTGATGAGAAAACTGATGCCCCGAAAGGCAAAGTTACTTGTCAAAGGTCTATATAGCTAAGTGATATTTGTAGATATTTCTTTCCCAACTTTTCCTCCCCTACTCCTCAGAAAATATACAAGGGTTTTTGTTCTTAGAACAAGGTAAGATACATTAAAAAGAAAGAATACTTAAACAATAAAGACAAGTGTCCTAGCCTTCTTGGGTACCGTGTTTCTTACACAGAAACAACATCTTAGAGATTAAGCAGAAAAACAACAGGGATATGAGAATAGGGATGAAAGAGGTTTCTAGGAATCACTATATTCACACAGATAAAAGGGTAATAAAATGATTAATTCCATTATTCTGTTTTCATTTCTCTTTGAGAAAGTTTTTGCGTAAAATTTTAAGGGTATGATTTTGTTTTTTTTAAAAGTGTTCAAATACAAAAACTTTGATTTCCTCTGGAAGCTCATCTTTTCCTCCTAAGAAAGGATTCAAGACACTGCCGAGAGTACTGGGGTGAGGGGTGGGAGGAGAGAAAGTTACAAGTCACAGGATGATGCTGATTTGTCTCTGGTCACATAGGTCCTAAGACTATGTACTGAATTTCACTTCAATTCCTAAACATTTTAAAAAATAAGTTATTTCACTTGTTCCTTTCTAGCAGAAAAAAATGCACAAGCTCTTCTTTAAGAATTTAATGAAATCAATTTCTTTTAGTCCATTTGTGATCTTTGTGTTGCAACACTCAAGGCAGTGATAATTTCACCATCTTCAAGGTCACCAACTCCAGTCTTGGTATGGTGTTGGTGTGTGGTATTTAGCCTTTTAAATGTGTAGGTTCTTGGTATGGTGTTGGTGTGTGGTATTTAGCCTTTTAAATGTGTAGGTTCCAAAAGGAAAAGCATACTTTTGGTAACCTCTAGCATAGGAGAGCAGATCATGTCTCCTAGTGCCTTTACTAAAGCATCTTCTACATAAGTAACTGTCACAGATCAGACCATAGCTATCTCTAATTCCAACAGATTCTCCTCTTAAATTATTGCTTCTCTTTTCAGGCCAAGGCCAATACCTTGAATCCAGATTAGCAGGGTTCACTGTCAAGAAGCCTTAGCTCCAGCAACTAAGTTGGGAAATGAATGAATTCTTTACTTAACCACCACTAAACAGATATTTATCTGGGCTAAGCATTCAAACCTGTCTACTTAGGTTTAATTATTTCCCTTTCTATAATCTATTTCATTTGATTGGTCCTTGGCTTTAGTTGACTGTTAAGTTACTCAGAACAATTTTGGGCCGTTACATTATATGTCTTCTAGAAGAGAGAGATTAAAGTTTTTCTGCAAATATTTCAAGGTCCAGTCACTGTTTTTCTAGACATGTAACATATAGCTCACTAGGACTATGAACAGGTAACATCTTTCCTATGTCAAGTGCTGGGTGGATGGGAAGCAAGAAATGTGTGTTTATGATATCCTCTACATAACAACAGATCACCAGGGAGAGCAACTTTGCCCATATAAAACAAGGGCAACAACAGAATCCTGAGGGTAACAAATGTCCCTCACTCTGAGGTTATGGGCCTATGAAGGGTATCTTCCCTTCCATCACTAGAAGTTCATTCTTACGTGGCTTGAAGACTTCTGTGCTGTGCAAATCTGGCATCCTGGATTCACATCAGTCAGTAAAAAGAAGTCATTAAGGCAGAGCCAAGATGGTGGAGAAAAGGCAGGGGCTCATCTGAGCTATCCCCAAAGCTCCTCCAAAAAACTTTAATGCCTCAAAACAAATTCTGGAGCAGCAGAATCCACAAAAGGACAGAGTGGAACAATTTTCCTGTCCAAGACAGCTTAGAAGATCAGCAGGAAGGGTCTGCTGCACCAGGGTGAGAGTGAAGTAAAGTCCAGTGCAGGCCATGGCACCCAGCAAATCAACATTAGGCCTTGGGGGCAATCGAATCAGTGGAAGCAGTGTCAGTTTCTGGACCTCTCAGCTCACAGATGGTAAGGGGGTCAAATAACTGGTCAGAAGATTACAGGGGTCCCTTTGCTGGCACCGGGCTTAAGACTCTGTTGTATTGCCCATACTTTGATCTGGGTCACAGTCCTGGGTCTGAGTTCCAGGGCAAGAAGGAACACCAGAGTTTACAGCCACAGGGGATCTGGGACTCTGGTCACAGTTCTGAGGTTGAAAAGAGTGCTTGTGGTTGCTCACAGAACAGAGCACAGCCCAGGAGAGTAGTAAACACACCTCTCCCTAGATCATGCCAGCTTTGGTAGAACTGAAAACTTACAGGTCCCCAGAATCATCTCTGGAACCAGTTGCACAAAAAACCTGAAGCATGGGTCAGTGCCCCCTCTATCCCAGGTGCAGAGCTCCACTCTAACATTAAGTTAATAGTCAAGAAATAGATTTGGAAAATGAGCAAACAACAACAACAACAAAACAAACCTGGCCATAGAAAGTTACCATGGTGACAGGGAGGATCAAAACACAAATTCAGAAGAAGACAACAGAGTCAAAACTCCCACATCCGAAGCCTCCGAGAAAAATATGAATTGGTTTCTGGTCATAGAAGAGCTCAAAAAGATTTTAAAAATCAAGAGAGGTAGAGGAAAAATTGGGAAGAGAAATGAGAGTGAAGCAAGAAAATCATGAAAAAAGAGTGAACAGCTTGGTAAAGGAAACACAAAAGTTCCCTGAATTGACCAAACTGACCTAGAAAATCAACTGAAGAGAGATAATTTAAAAATTATTGGACTAACTGAAAGTCATGATCAAAAAGGAGCCTAGACATCATCTTTCAAGAAACATTAAGGAAAACTGCCCTGATCTTCTAGAACCAGAGGGTAAAATAGAAATTGAAAAAATCCAGTGATCCCTTCCTGAAAGAGATCCCAAAATGAAAACTCCCAGAAATATTATATCCAAATTCCAGAGCTCCCACATCAAGGAGAAAATATGGTAAGCAGCCAAAAAGAAACAATTCAAATATCATAGAGCCACAGTTAGGATAAAACAAAATTTAGCAGTTTCTACATTAAAGGTTTGGAGGGCTTGGAATATGATTTTCCAGAGGACAGAAGAGCTAGGATTACAACCAAGAATCACCCAGCAAAACTGAATATAATCCTTCAGGAGAAAATATAGACATTCAATAAAATAGAGGACTTTCAAGCATTCCTGATGAAAATATCAGAGCTGAATAGAAAACATGACTTTAAAATACAAGACTTAAGAGAAGAATAAAAAGAAAAACAGGAAAAAGAAATGAGGGATTCAATAAGGTTAAACTGTTTACATTCTTAAGTGGGAAGATGGCATTTGTAATGTCTAAAATCTTTCTAATTAATTTCAGGGCAGTTAGAAGGAGTATACATTGACAGAGAAGATGGGTGTGAGTTAAATATGATGAGATGATTATCTAAAAAAATAGAAGTAAGAGGTAAGAAAGAGGAATGCACTGGGAGAAGGGGAGAGGGAAAGATAGAATGAGGTAAATTATCTGACATAAAAGAGGCACAAAAGAGGTTTTACTGTGGAGGGAAAGATGAGAGAAGCATTTGGCATCACTTGAACCTTACTCTCATTGGAAGTGGCTCAAAGAGGGAATAATATACATTGGGTATATTGGGTATAGAAATCTACCTTACCATACAGGAAAGTAGGAAGGGAAGAGGATGAGGCAGGGTGAGGCTGATAAAAGGGAGGCCAGATGGGGGGTGGTAAAAATTAGAAGCAAAACACTTTTGAGAACAGACTGGGTAAGAGAAACAGTGAGAAGAATAAACAGGGAAAATAGGACAGAGGGAAATACATAATTAGTAATCATAATTGCAAAAAAAATATTTACAGCAAGTTTCTCTGATAAAGATCTCATTTCTCAAATATATAGAGAATTGAGTCAAATTTATAGAAATAAGAGCCATTCCTCAGTTGATAAATGGTCAAAGGATATGAACAGGCAGTTTTCAGATGAAGTAGTCTAAGCTATATATAGTCATATGAAAAAATGCCCTAAATCACTATTAAGTAAAGACATACAAATTAAAACAACTCTAAGCTACCACCCCACACCTATCAGATTGGCTAACATGATAGAAAAGGAAAATGACAAATGTTGGAGGAGATGTGGAAAAATTGTGACACTAATACAATGTTGGTGAAGTTGTATGCTGATGCAAACCTTCTATAGGGAAAATTTGGAACTATGCCCAAAAAGCTATAAAACCATGCATACCCTTTGATCCAGCAATACCACTTCCAGATCTGTATCCCAAAGAGATTAAAAAAAACAATAAGAAAAAGACCTTTATGTACAAAAATAATTCTAGCAGCTCTTTATATGGTGGCAAAGAATTGGAAATGAATAGTTTGGCCATCAATTGGGAAATGGTTGAATAAGTTGTATATGATTGTGATGGAATACTATTGTGCTATAAGAAATGATGAGCAGGATGATCAGAAAAATCTGGAAAGATTTATATGACTGATGCAAAGTGAAATGAGCAGAACCAGGAGAACACTGTACACAGTAACAGCAATATAATATGATGATCAACTGTGAATGACTTAACTATTCTCAGCAATACAATAATCCAAGACAATTCTGAAGGATTTATGATGAAAAATGCTATCCACCTCCAGAGAAAGAACTGATGGAGTCTGAATGCAGATCAAAGCATACTTTTTCTTTTTTTTAATCTGTGTTTTCTTTCAAATGTGACTAACATGGAAATATGTTTTGTATAATAGCACTTACATAACCTAAATCAAATTGCTTGCCTTCTTAATGCAGGGGGATTGGAGGGAAGGAGAAAACTTGGAATTCAAATTTAAGCTCGTGTTAAAAATTATATTTTACATGTAATTGGGGAATATTAAATTTTTTTAAAAAAGAAAAAAAATTCATTAAGCAAGGTACTGTGCTGTGTGTTGGGGATAGAAAGAAAGGCAAAAGACAATCCCTACTCTCAAGTAGCTCACAGTCATAGTGGGAGAAACAATATGAAAATAACTATAATAAACTGGAGATAACCAACAGAGAGAAGGCACTACCCTCGAAGGGAATTAGGAAAGGTTTCTGGTAGGAGGCAAGACTCTAGCTGGGACTTGAAGGTAGCTGGGAGGCAGAGATGAAAGGCAGAATTCTAGACACCGGAGACATGGCTTCTGAATACCTCTGTAGTACTATACACCGGAACTGAGGTGCAGTGATTAAAGTGCTGGGCATGGAGTTAGGGAATTCAAATACAGCCTCAGATACTGACTAGTTGTACAAAATTAGGTTAAGTATTTAACGTCTGCCTCAGTTTTCTAAACTGTGAAGTAGAGATAATCACACCTACCTAACAGGGTAGTTGTAAGGATAAAATGAGTTAATATTTGTGAAGTGCTTAAGTACATTGTCTGGCACAAACCAGGCACTAAAAATGCTTATTTCCTTCCACCTTTTCCCCCCAGCAGAGTTCTTGGTCCAAAAAAGGCATGTTTTTCAAAAGAGGTTGTTTTTCTAATCCTACTTTCACAATCCATGCTGTTGACACCAGGGCCTACTAAGGAAGTATGATCCATGAGTAAACCAGGCTCTAGGCATATTTTTTAAAGATGTTCTCAGTTCTGGTAGCGTATTATTGAGCATAGCTGCTCTAGGTTTTTTGCTTGGGTGTGCTACTTGGAGTGGACTGGGCTGAAGAAGTCAATCTATCTTTTTTTAAAAATTATTATTATTTCTCCATTTCACAGCTTTAATTTAAAGACTCTGCCACATCATGGGAACTGGTTTTTTCCTTTTGTGGGGACTGGATCCAGCATCTCTCAAAAGGCTGTTGCTCAAAATGCTAGACGCTGTCTTATATGGTTCTGTAATTAGAAAATTTATGATGATGTATAACCTTAGTCTTCACAACTTGTTTGTATGTTCACTGGTAGCGGAGAGGGTTATGGTACAAAATTACAAACTCATTTCTCCTTCCTCAGCTTTAGAAAACTACTAGTACTTTCAATCTATAATAACTAGTTTTTTTTTCCCATAGTATTATCAGATTATAGAGGAGTCATTATTCCTTGCTTTTTCTTTTTAATGCTTGAGAATAATCTGTGTAGCATAGGCATTATTAACTGTTCTTTAAAATTGTGACATCATTGTCATATAAATAAATCTGGCCCAGGAGATTTTTCTTTGGTAGTTCTTTTATAGCTAATTCAATTTCTTTTTCTCAGATTGAATTATTTAAGATCTGTACTTGATGTTCTGTTGCTTTGATATTATAATTTTTAAGGTGTACTCAGTTCTGCTAGCATATTGTTGAGCGTAGTAGTTTCATATACTTCCTTTTATTCTAGTTTGGTAGTGACTTCAACCTTCTTTTTTATTTTATTGATTTGATTTTTTTTACCTTGTTATATCATAGAGTCTAAAAGATTTTGTTACTCTTTACAAAGTAATAGCTATTGGTACAACCATTCTGGAAAACAATTTGATATTAAGCAAATTGAGTGGCTCAAGCATCCAGTTCTTTCACTTTCTACTGCTAGACATATGCTTCAAGTACGTGACAAACAAAACAAAAAACTCAATCTGTCTATCAAAAAATTTACAGCAGCAGTTTTTGTACTAGGAGACAAAATGGAAACAACATGATGCCTGTTGACTGGAGAAGGACTAAACAAATAAGTTATGGTGCATGAATGAAATGAAGTATTAATGTGCTATAAGAAAGGAAGCATGATGAATACAAAGAAGCATAGAAAGACTTACATAAACTGATACGAAGTGAAATAAGCAGAGCTAAGAAAACAATATACAACATGATTACATCTATGAATATAGAAAAAATAACCACAAAACAATCAAAGATGAATGTTGTAAATTTATAAAGATTAGCCTTGATTTCAATGAAGAGAAATGAGAAGATAAGCTGATCCTTGGTAGAGTTATGCGGAGAGAGGAGATTCATGTGCACAGAACATTGCACGCATCAGATTTTGATGATGTTTTCTTTGCTTTTAAAAATATTTGTTACATGGAATAGCTTTCTGAGATGAGAATAAATGGTATTAAGTCATCAATTAGGAAAAAGGAAAACATACACTGATTGCTTCTAACTATCCTCTTCATACTTGTAGAATAATATATACCCACATATATGAATGGCAATGCTTATTTGTTACAATGAGCATTTCAACAGAAAATAAATTGTCAAGTTTATTTTCTTAGAATTTGCATTGTATTAAACATCAATACAAAACAAATACAGATGGATAGATCTTCACACCATGTTTTTTTTCATCTATCTCATAAACACAGATTACTGCAACTGCACTTCAAGGGAGCAGTATTTTCAGTTGATGATTAAAGGAAGCTCTCACACCCCTACATTCTTTTGCCCAGTTTCCTTAAAACTACCTGCCTGTCAAGGCATGAAACTTCAAGATTCTGGCAAACAAGGTGTCCATTACAAGAATAGTCTAGAAAGGTTTCACTAGGAGTAAAAGCAAATACCAAGCTTTTTCCCACTATAACCATATGTACTGTCTTATATTTCTAAAATTTCCCACCTAGGCCTCAAAATATCAAATACGATATTTCTTTTATGTTGATTAATATACTTTGGAGTAAAATTAGTCCTCCTTTGTATTCTACATACATCTGTGTCCTGATATTCAATATTCCCAAATCAAGAGCAAATTACTGTACTACAGATAATTAATCCCTAGTCTGCTGTATTATAGGAAGATTTTTTTTCCTTGCTAGAATGAGAAAGATTATTTTCTGTTATAATTTCCTGTACACTCTGTACTATTCCTGTTTCTCTGCTTAAAGAAAAAGCTGCCAATATCTATACGTTTTTCTCTCTCTTCTCACAGCTAAAGTAAAAGCAGCTTCATTTCACAGTGCACTTTAAACTGGATCCCAGCAGAACTCCCTCCCCACAACCTGGTATTAGTCATAAACTTACATCTTTTCCCAGCACTCTGAGTTCAAACTGTGTCTCTTTAAAGTGAACTTTTGTAATTCGCGGCCTAAAGAAAGCAGAGGGTTTTTTTTTAGTTTAGTGTTTTTTGTTTTTTTGGTTTTTTTTTAAGAACTAAAGTTACAGAAGTTTAGAGAAAAGTATACAAAGGCTAAAACTTGATGAAGCTTGCAATGAATGCATGGGGGATCCTGTGTTTCTTTTGTTTGGTGGGTTCTTGTTCTTCTCTCAGGCTCTCAAGCCCCTGGACCCCTGATTCTATGCTAGATTCTTTATGTTTCCCTTTCTAGGGATGATGTTCCTGAGATTCTCCACTAAGTGAGTCGTATAAAAACACCCCCACCCCAGCAGCTTGAAACCTATAAGGGCTCTGAAACTCTCTTCTATAAATAGCAGCAGGCATAATGCAAATACTACAGATTTTCCATTCTCTTTCATTCTAAAACCAGTTCGATCTATAGTTTTTGGGTAGTGCTATGTCTCAAATGTGGATTTTGAAATGTCCAGGCTGGGAAGCCCTAAATAAGAGTACTTTCAAGGGCATTCTTGCCAGAAAGCTGTTCATTCTCTGTGCAGGAAAAAGGTAATTTTTTAAATGAACCTTTTGGTTTAGAAAGTAAGGTATTAGAAAATAAAATGTACCTATCTCTACTTGTCAATTTTCTTATGAGGACATTTATCAGCTACTGTTTGAACCCGCTTATTTTCTAGTATTCCTTTCAGAGATAGATGTGTAGCAGATAGACATTATTAGAGATTAGAGTATAAAGTCATACATACCAGAAATATTTCCCTACTAGTTTCTTATTCTTGTAGACAACCACACCCACAGGAGTTAAACCTAAGAAATATTCAGACTTGCCTTCTCCCTGAAAAAAAAAAGTTATACATTTACTACTATGCAGTTCTCTATTGTTTTGAAAGAGCCACTCAAGTGTTCTAAGGATTACTATACAATAAAACTCACAGCACCAGATAATGTTTAATTGGGAAGGAAAACTTCAGAACCTATAAAAAGCATAGTAATAAACTTCTAAACTTTAATTATATTTGCTATTTCATTATAAGAAAACTAGACATATAATCTGACAAGTTTCCATATTGTCTAAATTTAGCTTCCTCATCCAACTTCATGAGACAATTGTGAAGCCGAGTGTTTCAACCAAATCCTCTCCTTACATATATTTAAACATAAATACATGCAACCCATAGCTTCTGAATAGCCACAGTCATTAGACAGTTCTAATCAGTCTCTCTTTTACTTACCTCATGCCCAACCATGATCAATCAACAAGTATTTATTAACCAACTATGCCAGGTACTGTGCTGAGCACTGGGGATAAAAATATAATGAATGAAATCATTGCTACTTGCAAGGAACTTACATCCTAATGAAGGAGTTGGTTAAGTAGGAGGGTAACATGGTGAAATCTACAATTATGGAAAATTACTTTAGCAGCAGTGTATAGAATAGACTGGAGAGTGGGGTAAAACTTTGAGGTGAGAAGACCATTTAGGAAGTTGTTGCAATAAAGGAAAGATGAAGACTGAAGGCAGTAGCTATGTGAGTAGATGAAGGAAGATGGTGAAAGAGATGCACTTTTATACACTAAGGAAAGGAGAAGATAACGAAGAAAGATGTTCAAGATTTTGGAGATGAAGAGAAGAGCAACAGAGGTATCAATGTTGAATGGCTTCAATGTTCTCAGTAGAGGTAATATCATCATCTGAGAGAGAGGCAGAAGGGGGAGATTTAGGAGGCTTGAGAACAATATAGAGAAGGAACAGTATAGCAAAGGAAAACATTTTGTGGGGAGTGAGAGGGAAATCTGTTAGGACACAGAGGGCCCAGTCAAAACTAGATTATAGGGGAATTGTGAGTTGTTGGCATGCTAGGGTGCAGAGGATCCCAAGTTCCATACAAATACCCCATTTTTCTTAGTTTATGGAAATAATCACCTCTAGATTCCCCCACCCAGCCCAGGAATCTACAGAAGGACTCCCTGGAGTTCCATGGAAATCCTAGGATAGACAAGCCTGGGCAGGTCAAGAGTCAAGCCCAGAGAAAGGAATACAAGCAGCCACACCTGGAGCATTCAAGGCAGTCCCTGTGCTCCCACCCTGAGATCTGTACTTCTTAAACCTAGAAGACTGTAGCTACAGGGGAATTACTTTGGGGTGTTCTGGGCTGCCTAGTATGGGGATCCCTGCCCAAGCCTCACTTAAATCATGGCTGGCTGAGTCAGCTTGGTTTAGGAGGGAGCAGCCTGGGGGTGTTCTGTGGGGGTTCATTTCAACACTCCAGAAAACAGAGTCTGAAGCTGACTCACTCCCAAGCCCCCACCCCAGATCTATCCTAGCAGAAAGAGTAGCTTCAGAGTATTGGGGCTGTAGGAAGGAATAGTGTTCAAGCCAAGCTATGAGAGAAAGAACCTGAGCAAAATCTAGCCCAAGCAATTCCTGAAGCCTGTGGTTGGATGCTAGTATGGGAGTAATCCTTGAGCTCATTAGGACAGGAGAAGATCCCCAGGCAGAGCCTACAGCAGGGAGAAATCTATGACAAGAGGGAATTCCTAGGCAAAGACAGAAGCCACAGCATCTCTGCAGTTCCTTGAAGGAGGGACCTAGTATAGGTCATTATTCTAAGAACCAGGCAGGCTCTACCACACCTTGTGTCTTGATCCAAACACAGTCACTTTTTCAACTCTTCATATTTCCCTCCTCCACTCCCCTTATCAAGAGTAATGAAGGAAGCCTCCAATCAACATGAAGCAGTACCTTGGCGAGACTCTCAGGGGATGAACCCTGAAGAAGATAATAACCCTACAACAAGTCCAGGTGAAGCCTTAGAAGGAGTAAAATGACCTCGCCACAAAGATGACAGGAGTATCTCAAGGAACACAAACAGAATGGAAAAACAAAGGAAGGAAAAACAGCAAGAAAAATCAGTGCCTTAGAACAGGCCATGGGAAAACACATTCAAAAACTCAATAACCTGAAAATTAGAATGAACAGGACAGAAAACAGTGACAAAACAATAAATACCAAAACAAAACAAAAATTAATGGACTATCTGAAAATTACAATTTGAAGAAAAAAAGTCTTGATACCATATTGCAGAAAAACATTAATGGAAATTGCCCAGGACTCTTAGAATTAGAGGGCAGAGTGAAAATTGAAAGAATCTGTTTATTGGTCATCTCCTGAAAGAAGTCCCAAAATGAAAACACCAAGGAACATCATAAGCAAATTCTAGAGATTCCAGGTCAAAGAAAAAAATATATTAGAAGTAGCCAAAAAGAAGTTCAAATGCCAAGTACTTACAGTAAAGATTACAAAACACTAAGCAACTGCCACTATAATAAGTGTTAAATCTTAGAATATGATTTAAAAAGGTGAGAGATAAAGGTTTACAACCAAGGATAAAGCTATTTGGCAAAATTAAGCATCATCATTTATAAAGAATGCACTTTTTTTCTTTTTTTTTTGGTGAGGCAATTGGGGTTAAGTGATTTGTCCCGAGTCACACAGCTAGCGTTATGTGTCTGAGGACGCAATTGAACTCAGGTCCTCCTGACTCCAAAGCCAGTGCTCTACTGCGCCACCTAGCTGCCCCAAGAATGTAGTTTTTAAAAAAAATTAATTTATTTTTAGTTTTCAACATTCACTTCCATAAGCTTTTGAGTTTTAAATTTTCTGCCCCTCCCTCCGCACTTTCCTCCCTAAGACAGCATGCATTCTGATATAGGTTCTACATACAAGAATGTACTTTTAATGGAATGGAGGATTTCAAAGTATTCCTGATGAAAAGGCCAAAACTGAGTAGATATTTGGAAATGGAAGTAGAACCACCAAGAGAAACACAGAAAGGCAATTACATTTGTTGGTATATGGGGTATATGAGGTCTTTGTGGTCAATAAAAAACTGGGTATATGGGGATGAATTCTTTGCGTGTTAATAGGAGGATAAAAAACAAATATCTTCACAGAACCTTCATATTTTAAGGATCATGGAAAAAAGTTAAAATGACAGAGAAGGCCTGTAGGTGGTTTTCTTCTGTTTTAATTGTCTTAGGAGAAGTCACACATAAAAGAGGAGAGGGACTCATAATGAGAGAAATCGCTACTGAATAATAGAGCTGAATAAGATGAAACATATATTGCAAATGAATTGGATAAATGAAGATCAAATACAATTATACACACACAGATCTCAGTACAGAAATGTATTAAATTAAAAAGGAAACTAGGAAGAGACAAGGATGAGGATGGGTAGCAAAGATTCTAAGAGGGAGGGCAGGATAGGTAAGGGAATAACTATAAACAAAATAATATTAGATGTTGAAGGGAGAAATATGAAGGAGGGATTACAAGGAAGAAAGAAAGAAAGAAAGTCAATACCTGGGATTGGGAACAAGTTAAGGAGAAGAGTTATAAAAGGGTAAACAGACTAATCCACCTATAAGATCACAAGTATCAGAAAAACGTTGTCTTTTCTATTACTTTCTTATTTGTAAAAAGGGAAGTAGAAGTAAAGAGAGGAAAAAGTTCAAGAGGATAGAATCATGGAAATAAACACTTAACAATTGTACTGGTGAATGTGAATGGTATGAACTCACCCATAAAATAAGAGAAGAGTAGTATGGATTAGAAAGCAGAATCCAACAATAGGTTGTTTACAAGAAACACTGGAAACAAAGATTCACATAGAGTTAAAATGACAAGCTGGAGTAAAATCTATTATGCTTCAGCTGAATTTTAAAAAGCAAAGGTAGCAATCATGATTTTCAAATAAGGCTATAGTAAATATATACAAGATAAAAAGAAATAAGGGGGAAAGTACATTATGCTTAAAAACACCATTGATAAAAAGATAGTTAATATATATGTAACTAATAATATAGCATCTAAGTATGTCAAGAGAAAGCTAATAAAATTATGAAAAATGGATAGTAAAACCATAATATTGTATCCCTTAATGTAGCAACTAAAAGGAAGAAATAAAGGATCTGAAAAGAACTTTTAAAAAAATCAGAGATGATAGATTTCTGTGATTTTGAATTGGAATAGAATGGAATTTACATATTCTCAGGTATATATCTCACTTTAACAAATTTTTTTTTTTTGCCTTTTGGTGAGGCAGTTGGGGTTAAGTGACTTGCCCAGGGTCACACAGCTAGTAAGTGTCATGTGTCTGAGGCCACATTTGAACTCAAGGTCCTCCTGACTCCAAGGCCAGAGCTCTATTCACTGCGCCACCTAGCTGCCCCTACATCTCACTAAAAAAATTGACCACAAAGACCTTGTCCTCCCCCAAAAGTAGAAAAGCAGAATTATCAAATACATCATTTACAATGCAATAAAAATTATATTCAGTAAAATGTCCTTGAAGAAAAAAATAATTATTTGGAAACTAAGTAACATAATTATAAAAAAACTAGTGGGTCAAAGAACAAGTTATAGAAACAATAGGAGATCTGACAAAAGAAAGTGACAATAATGATAAAACATCACAAAACTTATAGGATGCATCTAAAGCATTCCTTAGTGAATTTTAAATCTATAAATGCTTTCATTAATGAAAAAGAAAAAACAAACCAATTATTTATATATGCAATAAAAAAAAACCTGAATAACAAATGAAAGATCCAGAAGAGAATGACAAAGGAAAAATTTGAAAATTAAAGATGTTAAAACTGAAAGACCTTTAAAAGTATAAATAAAACTGGGAGCAAATTTTTCTTAGAAATATTATTAAAATAGATAAACAATTAGCTAACTTGATTTTTTTTAAAAGAGAGGAAAACCAAGCTATTGATATAAAAAATTAAAAAGGAAAACCTACAACAAAGAAACTATTTTTAAAAAGTTTATGATGTAAAATGGATAATCTAGAAGAAATAAATGAATTGTTATATAGTAAAAAATGCCACATTAACCAAAGAAGAAATTGACCCAAAAGGAAAAAAATTCCAGCATTCTATGGATTCACACTTGAATTATAGCAAACATTAAAATAACAAACCAATATTTCAAACTCTTTGAAATAATAAGACTAGAAGGTAATCTTCAATTTATTTCTATGACACAAATATACTATCGATGCCTAATCTAGCGAGAAACAGAGAAAGAAAACTATGTTCTGTATTCCCTATAGTATTATTGCAAAAATTTTGAATAAAATGTTAGCAAATAAGCTACAATATCATATTAGAAAGATTATACATTATGAATAGGATGAGTTTATACTAGGAATGCAGGATTTAACATAAAGAAATCTATAAATATAGTTTTTATAATAAAAACCATGTTTTATATCAATAGATGAAGAAAATACTTCTGACAAAAACAATCACTTTTTATATTAGAAACTCAAGAAAGCACAGGAATAAATGGATCTTTCCTTAGTATAGTAAATAATATTTATCTCAGTCTAAGAGCAAACATTACATGTAAATGAGAAAAATTAGAGGATTTCCCAGTAAGCTCAAGCCGAAAACCAACAAGCCCATTTTCCCCATTAACATTTAACACAGTGCTAGAAATGCTAGCTAAAGGAATAAGAACAAAAGAAGCTGAGGGAATAAATACAGGCAAAGAAATTAAAAATGATCACTTTAGTGACAATAAGATGCTGAAAATCTGAGTCAAGTAAAAATTAATTGAAATAATTAAAAACCAGCACATTTTCAGGATATAAAGATAAATGTATACAAATCATCAGCAGTCCTATATTTAGACAACAAAATGCAGCAGAAAAAAAGTTAAAAAAAGAGAAAGTTCATTCAAATTAACTACAGAAGTTATGTAAGATTTGATAGTGTATTTTCAATATTCACCCAAGGCATATATGAATCTAAATATAAAATATTCTTCACAGAAATGTGGAGTAGTATTAATTTCTCATGGGTAGGTTGTCTACTGCCCAGTCTACTGCCCAGATTTTAACACACATTTGAATATAGAGCCATATTTAAAGATCTATAGACTTATCCAACAGTATTTACATCTGCACAGAAAATACAGACACATAATGATATGGACTTAGAATTGAAAAGGAAGAGGAGAGATGACTGCATTGATTTTGGAAAACTGGAAAGCACTTTTATTGACCTCAAACTCCCCATAACAGCAAAAGACCATATTTTTAATAACAATATTTAATTGGTATTGCTGTATAGCAGCAAGAAATTAAATACTACTCATTGAAGAACTAAGCATGAGGATCACACAGAAGGCGATGGAAAGGCTTGTGGTAGATATGAATAATAGCTACTATTTATATAGTAGTATATATATTTAAAGTTTGCAAAGTCCTTTACATACATTATCAAAAACTGATCCTCCCAACAACCCAGGGAGATAGATGCTGTTATTATCTCTATTTTGAAAATGAGGTAATTGAGGCTGAGATAGGTTAAGTGACTTACCCAGAGTCAGAGAGTGTCTGAGGCAAGATCTGAACTCAGAGCTTCCCGATTCAAGGCCTCAGTCTCTGCCCACTCTGCCAGTGAGCTGGCTAAGACAAGGTACAACAAATTTCCCAAGAGAAACTTCAAAGAATGGGATTAAAAGAATATATCAAAGTATCATATGACAGAAAGAGAAGATGAGCTGGTCATATGGCAAACTGAAGAAATGCCAGGTGGTTCCACTGGAACTCTTAATGTGTCACTGCCGTATTGGGATAGACCCTTCTGTGGAGTACTTTGGGGAGAAAATGAACAAGAGTCCCAAGCAATGGACAGGCATGGATGAGTTGATGTGCATTGTGGGAGGAAACTCCCAAATCAATGAGACCCATTTGAATAAATAATAACTGGAGGAAAAAAGTGCTTCAACTTTAATTTCTTACACCAATTTCTTACTGATTATGTGTGCTCTGATCTTGGAGAAATTTCATAAAACTGCATATCACTGCAGCATTGTATATGGAGTCTACTTAAAAACAAACAGGGGCAGCTAAGTGGTGCAGTGGATAGAGCCCTGGCCCTGGAGTCAGGAGGACCTGAGTTTAAATCCAGCCTTAGACACATAACAACTTACTAGCTGCGTGATTCTGGGCAAGTCACTTAACCCCAATTGCCTCACCAAAAAAAAAAAATTACCACTACTATAACATTTACAGAACCTTTACAACAAAAATTAAAAGAATTAGCTGCTCTTCCTGGTGTTTTATTTCCTATGAAGTGATTTTTGTGAATGTGACCACACAATCAATTTTCTGAAATAGCTTCATATTTTCTGTTCAACACAATCAATGATAGTCAGCTTTATATCTCTTCTGGACACTTTTGACTAGATCCTGAGAATTATTATCCATGCTGTATCTTCAAGCTCAAGTAATTGTCTCCTACTGATAGAAATATAATCACAAACTTTCATGCAAAACTAATTTCTTTTTCCTATGGGTAAGTTTACTTCATCTTCCTTTCCAAAGTTTTGCTATGCATTTGACAAACAGGCATAAAAGTACCCTGTAGCTGCTAAATAGCCTGATTATAGTTTTTTATATATAAATTCGGTGACTTTTAAAAGATATCAGGGGCAGCTAAGTGACACAGTGAATAATGTGCCAGGCCTGAAGTCAGGAGATCTCACCTTCCTGAGTTCAAATCTGGCCTCAGACACTAACTGTGTGACCCTGGGCAAGTCACTTAACCTTGTTTGTCTCAGCTCTTCATCTATAAGATGAACTGGAAAAGGAAATGTGAAACTACTTCAGTATCTCTGCCAAGAAAACCCCAAGCGGGGTCACAAAAAGTCAGACACAACTGAACAATAACAAAAGATATCAGCTTAATATATTTAATGTTAAATAATACTCACATAGACAGGATGAAGGTCAACTCCATACATTTCTAAGGATTTGGCAATTCCCAAGTATTTTATTTCTGCCTCAGAAGGTACTAGACCCCTATATTTTGGGAAGAAATAAATTTATATTAATGGCAGTTACTATACTGCTGAGGAAACTAAAACATTTTAATTCTGTTATATGAAAAGATAATTAGTTTTCATGTCTTAGATTATGTTGTATCATTAGATCTCTCAAACTACGGTTAGTAGAACACAATTTTTAAATCTTTCCGAGTTATTTTTCTTTATCACATTGCTGTTACTATTTAAGTTGTTCCCCTGGTTTTGCTCACATCATAAAACTTCATTAGTTCATAGAAATCTTACCAATTTTCTGTGATTGTCCCTTTCACAATTTATTATAGCACAATAATATTCCATTACATTCATACACCAAAATTTGTTTAGCAAACCTGCCATTTATGGGCATTCTACTTCTTCTAGTTCTTTGCTATAAACAAAAAGAGCTACTATAAATATTTTTGCATATATGGATAATTTTCCTTTTTTTTAAAAAATCTTTTTGGAGTATCAGTTCAGTAGTGGTATCATTGGGGCAAAGGACATGTACTTTTAAAGATTAGTAACTTTTTATTTAGTATTTTATTTTTTCCCCCAGATACATATAAAAACAATTTTTAACATTCTTTTTTTAATTTTAAAATTATTTATTTATTAACATTCATTTTTATAACGTTGAGTTCCAAATTCTCTCCCTTCCTCTCCCACATACCCCACCTCATTAAGAAGGCAAACAATTCAATACAGGTTATACATGTATAGTCATGTAAAACATGTCCATAATAGTCATGTTGTGAAAGAAAACATAGACCAAACGGGGAAAAACTCAAGAAAAATAAAGAAAGTAAAAAAAAATATGCTCCAATCTATATTCAAACACTATCAGTTCTTTCTCTGGGAATGGATAGCATTTTTCATCATAAGTCCTTCTGAGTTGTCTTGGATTATTGTACTGCTGAGAATAGCTAAGTCATTCATAGCTTATCTTCACACAATATTGATGTTACTTTGTACACAACACATTTCACTTTGCATCAGCTCATGTTAAGGCTTTCCAGGTTTTTTGAGAGCATCCTGCTCATTATTTCTTATAGTACAATAATATTTCACCATAATCATATACTACAATTTGTTCAATCATTCCTCAATTGGTGAGCATCCCCTCAGTTTCAAATTCTTTGCCCCCAGAAAAGAGCTGCTATAAATATTTTTGTACACGTAGGTCCTTTCCCCTTTTTAAAAAATTATCTCTTTTTTGATACAGACCTAGTAGTGGTATTGCTAGGTCAAAGGGTATGCTTGGTTTTATAGTCCTTTGAACATAGTTCCAAAGTTCTCTCTACAGAAGGATTGAATCAGTTCACAACTGTACCAATGGTGTATTAAAGTCTCATTTTTTTCCCACATCCCCTCCACTATTTGTCATTTTCCTTTTCTGTCCTATTAGCCAACCTGATAGTATAAGGTAGTACCTCAGAATTGTTTTAATTTACATTTCTCCAATCAATAGTGTAGAGCATTTTTTCCATATGGCTATAGATAGCTTTGATTACTTCATCTGAAAACTGTTCATATCTGATTAAAACTCTGATCTTTAGTTTAATGTAAATCTTTCACTGGAAGTAGAGAAAACAGCACTCAATAATATCTAACCCAAACAAGTATTAAGTCTTCCTTTTCTGCCCAAAGGGTAATTTCATCATATTGCTATATTAAACTTCTAAGATTATAACTCTTTACGCATATGAGCTCAATCATATCCCTGACTCTAGTGGATATAGAAAGTCTATAAAGTAATTCTGTAGCATACCTTTCAAAAGAACCAAAGTATACATCTGGTAGATATGAAATGCTTACAGAAAATATAAATAGTGAAGGCTTTTCATATTCTCTAAGAATATACATCAACAGAACAGGCACTTTGAGACTATCCAAGCTCTCCATCGATAGAAATTCTTTCCTCTTATGTTGATTTATTTTTTGGTACTTGTATGAATAATTGAAATTTTTGCTCTCCATAAAAAAGTATATTTTTAACACGGTCACATTTGGAAAGCTTAAGAAGCATTAAATGTCAACATGGTGATCTCATGATTAAATCATTTTATCTTCTGTATAAAATACAGAAAGGAAAATGGGAATAAGTTGTATCTTGTGTTTGTTCTTCATCATTATTATGTGGTAACAATTAATAGCTAGTGAATGAAAAATTTATATGCTAATAAACATTGACAAACAACAAAAAAAGAATCATTCTCAAAAGCACTAACTTCTCTGCCCTCCAAAATGTACTAACAAGCTTTCTTTGAACATCTTCTCCAGCGAAAACCTAAAATAATGGACTCTGTGATCAAGGTGGAAGACCTTAGTACATGCTGTTATAGTGGCTTTTCCTGATTGCAGTTTAACACCTTGCTCTTACTTCTCACAAAAATTAAAGAACTTGATTCTTTAAGCAAACATTTTGTTATCAAATTAATTCTACAATTATTTTACTTTGTTATAAGTAAAGTTAAATTTAGAAAGTAATAGTGCCTAAGAAGAATGTTTTAGTAAATGTAGTTCTTCCCCCATTAACAAAGTTAATCTGTAGAGATGATTTAACCAAAATAAGTGTAACTGAATTATAGCTTCAATACTGCAAGTCTTCTCTCAGAAGTTCTATTGATGGAGGGCATGGATAGTCTAAAAGTGCCTATTTTGTTGATGTATATACTTACAGAATATGAAAAGCATAGTCTTATTTCTGGTTTGTTGCTACTTCCTAAATATAAAGTACACTTACTTGTGGATGATCAAAAAACATTTAATAGCAAACATTTATACCAAGAAAAGAAGCAAAAAGTAATGCAAAGAAAGGAATTTCAGGAGTTTAAAATAAGAATGAGTAATTTGTCATGATACTGGTATACACACACATGCACACACACATACATATATACTAAGGTTTCCTATTCTATAAGCTGTTTGTATGATATGAACATTATTTCTTACATTAGAGTTTTGTGTATTCGTTCTATGGCATCTTCAAGTTCTTCCTTTTGATCTGGAACAAATCGGTACTCAGACACATATCCTGGAGTGTGCTTATATGGGTCATAATCTCCAAGTTCAGCTACAAATAGAGAAAAACAATGTCATTTTCCACTTCTACCTCCAAATTTGGAAATACACATAAAAAAGTTATTTGTCAGGTTGCTTAGTTATTTTCTTCAAATGCTTCATTATGTTTTTAAATTCATATGAAAATGACTAAAAAATTTCAAGTAACAAAGATTCTGGAGGTAGGTATCACACTTAGCACAACCAAATTCCTGGTTAATAAACATGAGCTAAAACCTTGCTTTCCCAAAGTTTGCATTTGTAATGCAACTTTTACTGAATTTATTTTAGCATACAGTAAAGAAATAATAATCAACTAAAGTTTAGAGATAATATACTGGAAAAAGTTTTTTTAAAATCTTGCTCAGCATACTCTGACAACAAACATTATCACATGGAACATGTATTAACTTGATTCACTAATGTCATCTTGAATGACAATTCTCTAAGATTAAAAACTGTGCTACTTATAACTCCATGGAGATGAATAAAGAGGAAAATTGAAAATAAGAACCTCAGTCATTTAACTCTTGGTGTGGTGGAATTAGCACTGACTCCAGAAGTCAGAGTTCACAAGTGCGTAATCTCACCTCTGATCTTTACTTCTGGTGTGACCTTGAGCAAGTTTTTTCTGAACTTCAGTTTCCTCCTCTGTAAAATATGGAGATTGTACTAGATAGCCTTGGAGGGTCTTATCAGCTTTACATATATGACCCTTTGATTCTCTGAATTCCTCCTGATTCCTATTTAATAATAATTTTCACTTTACTCTCTTTTTTCAATCTCAATTCATTCTTGCTCCACTCCTGCTCTAGATGAGTCAGTCACATATATGCACTGAAAATTGTTGAAAATGTTGTGGAATATCACAAATACAGACTATGTTTATTATTCTTCCAAGGTAACAATAAGGCTAACACAAATATTAACACAAGTTATAGAAACAGGTAAATATGTATATGATCAATGACAGATTTCCAGTGATTTACATAGTCATCAAGTATACATATATTTGATCATACTGAAAATCAACTAAAAAATCATTATTAATCAAAAAATTTATAAACAGAGCTATCTTTGAGACATATTACCTAGAGTTCACTATCAAATTCTTCATGTTTTACACATATCCTTTCAGGAATTTTATAAGTAAATGTAATCCCTCCCCTATAATTAATTTATTGCCACATTTCAATCAATAGCTATGCTTCCCCTACTAGATTAAAATTTCATTTATTTAAACCAATTGGGTGAAGGCCAATCAAAATTAATGAATAATTTAAAGTATACAGTAAAATAATTTTCCAGTTCTCTGCAAACACATGAAAAACATGCAATGAAGAAAACAAAGACCTGCAGATCACATACAATAAAATATAACCAGTTTACCAATTAGAAGGAAAAGAAGTTGATTACTGATTAGGGCCAGTCATAAAAGCCTACCTTTACTTAAGCAAATATAAAGCAGAGGAGAAGCCTAAAGAGAAGGAGAAAATCAATAAGAAAGAAAAACAGAAAGCAGAAAGAATGGGAAAAGAATAGTAGAGCAGTAGTAGCAGCAAGCAACCAAAAGAAAAAAGCCCAAAAAACTAGGGCAGAAATTAGAGGTAATAATAGGATAGAAAGCAGCAGACAACAATGGCAAGGAGAAGAGAGCTAGCTACAAAGAGGAAAGAGAAGAAACATTAGAACACATGGAGATGTTAAATAACATTCGTGATTATAACTCCAAACCATTAAAAATGATTAAACATGTTTATAATATAATATAATATAATATTCCCATTTTGCAGATAAAAAAAATGAGGCAAATAGAGGTTAAGTGATTTGCCCATAGTCACACAGATAGTAAATGTCTGAGACTGGATTTGAACTCAGATATTCCTGACTCCAGGCACAACATTCTATCCACTGTTCCACCTAGCTGCTCTTTTTACACTACCACCAAACTGTCTTACTTTTGTTCCCAGCATACAATAATCCATTTCTTTTCTCAGTGTCTCTGCCCAAGTTGTCCCCTATGCTTGAAACAATCTCCCTCCTTACCTCAGCATCTTAGCTTTCCTAAATTCCTTAAAAACTTCATTCACATGCCACCTCCTATGTATAGCAAATCTATTCTGATTCCCCTAGTGGCTAATGTCAACCCCTTGAAAGTACTGTGTATCAAATATACGTATTTGTATAAGTGTATATGTAGCATACATTTAAATGTATACTAGACAGATATATAGAAAATTTACTTTTTTGTGTACATGTTGTTTCCCCCCAAAAGAATAAGCTCCATCAGTGTATAGATTGTTTTGTTTTTAATGTGTATCCCTGATACCTCGCCTAGTACCAGGCACACCAGTAGGTGTTTTAAAATATACATGAATGAAGCCTAATAAATAAGGCATTATTATATTTTAGAAGAAATTTAGTTTTTATGTTTCAGTAAAAATAATTTTGATTAGCTCTAAAACTCTAATTAATTCTAATGCACTGATAACACTCATTTTCAATTAGCAGCATCAATTTTATGTAAAAGGTCTCAGGTGAGGTTTATAAAATGCCAATGGCATCACGAGCAGTGGGAAAGACAAAGGAGAAAAACATGCTCAAACAATACCAAGAAAAGTTCTAGAAATGAAACTAAAATTTCTTCAGAACTCGAAAACTAAAGGAATTAGATACAGAAATTAACAAAAGTATCATGAAATGAAAAAAAAATTAAAACAACTCTGAGGTACTACTTCATCCCCATGAAACAGGAAAAGATGTATCATTACATTAACTAGTGGGCACTTACATTGGAGAGCGTATGCTCCCAGCTGAGCAGCAATGTTGATTGGACAGGGCAGTCGCCCTTGTAGCACATCTTGTTTCACCTGCAAAAAAAACTGATATCTAAAAAAAAAAAGAAGAAATGAAAGAGAAAATCAATAAAGATGCATATATTTATGGCTTCAGACATTCATAGTCATGGTAATATTAAACAAGCTTTACTTATATAAAATTACTTTTCCCTGGCATGTAGGCATACAGCGAGGACCTGATTAGTATGAATAATGAATCTTGTGAAGTGGTCACATGTATTCAAATTTGTGCTACCCGGAGTTATAATTATGTAAAAAGAATGGGCACCCCAATAGAAATATGAAGTTTGAATTCAAATAATGTGACCTCTTCAGGGATTCACTATTCGCACTAATTGGGACCAAGGTATAGTGGTAAAGCAAAGAGATTTAACCATGTCTTACATACAAATATATCAACAAGAAAGATCAAATTACACAGACTCAATTTGAGTAGAATTGATGCATTATTGTTGGCCTGAAACTGGGTCCAACCATTTTGGAAAGCAATCTAGATTTATGAACAAAGACCTTGCCTTGTCCTGCTAAGCCCACCCTGCTCTGCCTTGCCTTTTCTTTTCTCTTCTTTTCCAATGGAATTTGGAAGGGAGGTAGAGAAAATAGACTTTTCTGTTGATTTTTGAGAGTAGTGGAGGAGATGCTTTAGATGTGGAATGCCACATGTACTTTCAGATTAGATATTAGTATTACTTATCTGTTTTACTTTGTTACAAGGAATAGGAGTAATCTGTAAATGTTTGAAATATAAAAACAAAACATAAATAAAACTTAAAATAATACTTGTCTCCAAATTTCACAAGAGCATAGAAAGAGATCATTATTCACATATATAAATTATTTCTGACGTTTAATAATAATTGCTAAGAAGTAGCCTGGTGCAGTGGATAGAGAGCTGTCCAGAGTCAGGAAGACCTAGGATTAAATGCCACCTTTGACACATTCTAGCTATGTGACCCTAGGCAAGTCACTTAAACTCTCAGCTCTCTCATAAGTTGCAGAGATAGTGAAGATATGCATTCATAGAAAGAGTTTCCACATATATGTGTTACTTATGTCAATGAAATCACATGCCTAGTCCTTATCCCAGTTCCTATTGTTAGTAAGAAGGAATTAAATTAAAAACACAACTCTCCAGGCAGGTATAATTAATATATTTGCCCAGCTGAATTTCTACTTGGAAGACTGTGAGATGAGACAATCTAGAGACCAATAATATTTGGAGAGTAGTGATAGACAGGTATGAGAGCACTGAGTTGAGGCACTGATGACCATGACCGGCTGCTTAAGGTTGATGCTAATAACAGGCATGCCAGGGTCTATCCTTCAGTTGCAGAGACACTGATGATATGGCTGTGGCTGAATAGTTTGGTGTGGAGATAATTAAAAGGAGACCTTGGAAAGATAGGAGAGAGGGAGCTGGAGATCTCAGTTCTCCAGGGTATAGTCATCCTGTTCCCACCACAGACTGTGCCAGCACTATGAATAGAGAGGAAACTAGAAGCACTCCTGTAAGAGCACCACATCACTCTCTGATGAGTGCATTACACCACAGAAAAGGTTATCAGCCTGTGTGGATAGAGGAAATCTCCTCATCTAGAAGTTGACTATATCAGTGAAATTATAAGATTGGCTCCTCTTTTTAAGAATCATACTGAGCTGGAATGACACATTATTAATAGAAAATTGTGGGAGCAGGTAGGTGGATAGAGCATTGGCTCTGGAGTCAGGAGGACCTGAGTTCAAATCCAGCCTCAGACACATGATACTTACTAGCTGTGTGACCCTAGGCAAGTCACTTAATCCCACTGCCAAAAAAAAAAAAAACTGTAAGAAGGCATTAAAGGAAAAACACAATTTTATGAACATGTGATGATTCTATGTAGTGGAAGGGTTTAAGGAGGAAGAAGAATGCTCTCTTGGATTATTCATTATAGGGGAGACTAAACAACAGATTTGGCTGTTTGTAAAGAGTAACTTAGGCCAAAGTTATCTGTATTATTTGGAATCCCTGAAGGCCTTTTCTTATATGGGTATTTTGCTGTGTGTTTCTTCCCCATGGCAGCTCTTGGGAAGGTGGCCAGGGGAGTCACATTCTATTGGTTTCTCTTCCACCTAGGTGTCTTGTGTGCTTTGGTGATGCCTGGCCCCTCCTTCATCACTGGGATTCAGCATTTTGGTACAGGCAAATCTAAATTGGTAAGATCTTCATAATAAACCTTAGGTTGACTCCCCAGTCCAGAAACTGTCTGAAACTTTGTCTGTTAACCTCAGCAGTATAGGTAACACTACCTCTACCCTCAAAAATCTATGTTTACTGGGAAGGAAGTCCGGAAACTCCAATGGTTAGAGGACATTCCAAGGTAGGATCAATGTCCTTGTGAGAAATCGGGACAATATTTTTAGTAGAGTGGTGAGGAGAAGCTCTTGGAGGATATACCCTTAAATCCAGGCTGTTATCCTAGGCACACAGACTACCCTTTCAATACCATAACTGAAGTCACCCAGAAAATTGGTAGCAATTACCTTACTCAGTACTATTACCAAAGAAAGTGGCAGAGTCAGTCAGCTACAATTACTAGTAGCAAAGGCAATGGTATCTGGGACATTTGAGGACAAAGGACAGTACCAGGTTAACAGTTAATAATTAAGATGAACGTATCACTTTGAGGATGTTTATGCTGTTTATAGAGACATTAAGACCTAGGTAAATACTTGAGAAGAACACAGCTATATTGTTTGTTGGTCCCTAGAAGAAATTCTGTAATGTAAACTTGTCATTGCTTCATCTATTGTGCCTTTAGTGACAGGGAGTCCGGGCTCCACTCTTACAGTTACACAGGTAAACATACATATTCCCTTCTATCTTGCATCTAGTAGTACCACTTAATATATCTTCTAATGGTTTGTAGGGAGAGAGGATGGTTTCTAGTAAGGGCTAAGTCTTGAGTCACAAGGCTATTCCAAAACAACTTAAGTTCCATCTTTGATAAGACAATTTGTAGGAGGATTTCTATCACCTTAAGAGCATGTTTTGAGAGCCCCTGACATAATAGTTCTCCCAGAATATAATAGAAACCATCCTTCCTTCCATGATAACCACTCTGAAAGAACTGAGACAAATGGTATACAGGCTTCAGGAGCAAGTGAAAAAATTTCAGACCTTGACTATTAGGGTAATTATTTCAGCAAGAGTAACCTATTCATATTATGGTAAATACTAGTTCCAGCAACAACCCCACTGCTGCATAAATCTGCTGTACTGTCACAAAAGTAAAGGCCCAGTGAAGTAGACACTGGCTTTGGCACAGTGTATAGCGTACTGGACTTAAAGTCAAGAAGACTGAATTTGAATCCCACCACTGATGGTCCCTAGCTATGTGACCCTGGGACAAGTCACATAATCTCAGGTTCCTCATTTGCAAAACAGGGATTCTAATAATTACAGCACCCAACTCAGAGAGTTAGTGCGATGGTCAGAGAAGACATTATACATAAAATGTTTTGCAAAGTTGAAGGTACTACATAAATGACAGATAGTATTATTGACTATTACACTTTAAAGACAATCTCCTTTAACAACTAGAGAGGAAATTTCAGAGAATTACCAGAAACTATTATATACAATTATGTCAGTGAAAGATAGAATTCAAAGGAAATTGATTACTATCTACCAAAAAAAATTCAAATTACCAAAATAAAAAATAACACCTTAATTCAAGCTCAGAAAAACAAAATTAAGTAAGTCATAAATGAATTATCAAAGAAAACTGACCTGGGCCAGACGGGTTGACAAATGAATTCTATCAAACATTTAAATTGCAATTAATACCTATGTTACAGAAATTATTCTCAAAAAAGGAAACAGAAGGCACTCTATTCCTTTTATGAGACAAACACACCAAGAAATAGAATCACTTACACTCCTTTTAAGAGTGAAGAGTAAAAGCAAGCTCTTAGATGGGAAATATTGTTATTTGATTAAAGACACCAGAGCCCTGAGTTATGGAGCTAGTTAGCAGATGCTGCATGAAGAAACCCTGAGTACTAAATGAGACTATCTGTAGGTAGTAGATAAAATGCAGAAGAAGAGAAACTATCGTGTTTGCTCAGTTTGCTTAGTTGAGCCCTCTCTGTGGCAGAGAAGAATAACTTCAAATTTGCCAAGTACTCGGGCAACTTTCTCTATCTGTTTCGCTATGTTGAAAGTCCAATTGTCAGACTGTGCTGTACCTTAAGATTCCTGAGGTCTTGGGCACAGAGAATAGGAAAGTGTTGGGTGGTAATAATTGTGTGTCATCACAAGGTGTGTTAAAAACGTCTTTTGAGCCTTTCTCGAGTCCCTTAGCCATGTCTATATCAGAGGTCACAAGGCCATGATAAAAGGAGGATAGGAAGTGGCTACATGGAAAATACTGAAGAGCGGATATGTTGGGTCATTCTTGCTGTTGTTTTCTGGAGCCAAACTATTTACTGAACTTAATAGATCTAAGGCTGAATTTTGTAAGTCTCTTGGTATGGAAGAAAAAGGAAGCCAAATCAAAGCAAAGAATGTGCATCAACAAGGTTTTATACATCAGAGATCACAGAATCATAGAAATTAAGAATGGAAAGGGACCTCAGTGATCATCTAGTTCAACTCATAATAATAGGTCTGATTCTTCATGACCCCATTTGGAGTTTTCTTGGCAAAGATACTGGAGTGGTTTTCCATTTCCTTTTTTCAGCTTATTTTTACAGATGAGAAAAGTGAAGCAAACAGGGTGAAATGACTTGCCTAGGGTCACACAGCTAGTAAGTGTCTGAGGACATATATGAACTCAGGAAGATGAGTCTTCCTTACTCCAGGCCTATTACTCTATCCACTGAGCCACCTAGCTGCCCATATTGACCCTAAATCATTAATAATTATGCTTTAAAATTTTTTTTAATAATTACTCTTTAATATTAGAATAACTACTCTTTAACATTTTTGCAATTGATGCAAAAATGCTATTTTAATATTACTTTGAATAATTTTTATTCTATTTCTATTTTTTCTTATGGATAAAAAAAGAAAATACATTATATTAATTGATGTAGGCTTAAATTCTAGTCTTCCTAGTGCTGTATGGCCATTCAAATGGTTCTGAATCCATCTGATTATATTATTATCTTAACTGTGGTAATTTTTTTTTTTTTTTGCAATTTGGTGTTTTTTAACAAAGTAATGAAAGGATGAAGCTTAATCTAAAAGCTTTGTATTGCAAATACCACCACACTTCCTTCTCTACAACATATACATTCATCCATATATATTTACTTACTGGAAAAGTTCATGTCTACCTTTAAAATTATCATTTAAAAACTCTTTGGAATCAATAAAGTCAAAATGATGGGGTTATTTAAGACAGCAGAATAATAGAACACTAAGTTTCGAGGGTGATTATTGAATGTGGTATTATATTGGCATGAGTGAAGACATGGCTCTAAAACAAATATAATTCTTTTCTGTGTTGCCAACCTTCAAGTCCCCAAATCTAGGAAAAGGATAAAAAAAGTTTAAGAATAATGCCTTTTGTTTTTGTCCTCAGAACAGGATTTTTACAGGGAGATGGTGAGGGTGGGGAAGAGCCCAATGTAAAAAGTACAATCAATGTAGTTCTTTAGGTTATGTTCTATTCAGTGCAACAAACTTAATTCAAAAACTATTTTTCAGCACTTCTTAAATACAGCCAGAGATGTTAGAGAGAAAAAGATGAAAAATGACACAGCTCTTGCTTTCAAAAAGCATACAATCTAGTAAGGAAATTAAGCATGTATAAATTCCGTAATTCCTTAAGTGATTGTAGTATAAACAATTTTAAAATGAAGAAATATAATTATCAACAACCATGTGAAAAAATTTCCCCCAAAATCACTATTACTAAGAGCTACACAAATTAAAACTACCCTTAACGTTCTACATCAGACCCATCAAAGGTGATTAAAAAAGGAAAATGACTATTTTTTGAGAAGGTGTGGGAGGACAAACACACTAATGCACTTTTGGTGGAGCTGTGAATTTGTAGAACCATTTTAAAAAGCAAGTTGGAATTGTAGACCCAAATCACTAAATTACGTATATGTAGTATGTATATTATGCCACTAGTAGGCATATAAGCCAAAGTCAACACAGAGGAACACTCCAATTGTAAACACAGCCCATCACGTGGAGAATGACTGAACAAATTGTTGTACATGAATGTAATAAAACGTTACTGTGCAATAAGAAATTACAACTTTAACAAATTCAGAGGAACCTGGCAAGACTTGTATGAATTGATGATGCAGTGTGAAATAAGCAGAACCAGGAGATCAGTTAGTTTACAAAATAATCCCAATAATGTAAAAGAAAACAACTTTGAGACAAAACTGATAATCAAGTGACCAATCATAACTTCAGAACACTGATAATTAATCATACCACTCACTTCTTGGCAGAAAAGTGATGGACTAGAGGTGACAAAGCAAATACATAGTTTTAGAGGTGGCCAATATGTTGAATTATGGTGCTTGATTGTGCTTATTATAAATAGAAGCAAGACTTCTATTTGGGGGACAAAGGATGAATTAGTAGGTAGTGCTAGAGATTAAAAAAAAAAGAAGCATCGAAAAAACATTTTAAAAGTACATAGTATAAAACAAAAAGCAGTTGAGAAAGAGATATAAAATGAGCAATTTTGTTACATTATGTTAAATTTAACATGTACTTTAAAAACACCAAAAATGTATGAAATGAGAGACCTGACCAATAAAAACCTAATCCTGAACAACAAGCATCAAATATTCTGCTTGATGCAATCCCCTATGTGACCTTTGGAGTAAGACTGTTTCCTGTCCACTAGGTTGCTGAGCTGGAACTAAGTATGCATTTGAAAGGAAACTAACAGGACAAAGGGAGCCTTCCTTCCTCCTTGGATGATCTTGATTGAGGAGGACAAACTACAGTGGGCTTCCAGGAAGTTAGAAGGAAGTCATGAATGCTCTATCTTAACTTGCCACTCACTTCAGAGAAGAGATATTAGACTGATCACCAAGGAGAAGGAGCTGTACTCAATGAGCAAAGCCGAATTGAATTAGCTCAAAAGAAATTCAAGGTGCACAAATTTAGAGAATCTACCCTACATGTTCACGTGGACTATTCGTGCCCAACTGGTGGTGGAGCATTGCAAGCTTGTATTGGTCTGATCAGCCACAGTTGGACGCATTATAATTTGACTCTAACGTAGTAATGTCCTCTTCAAGAATGAAGGACAACAACCAATCTGAACGTGCCACTCACTTCAGTTTCCTGGGTTTTATACAAGCCAAGTCCTTCATGCAATAAGGACAGACTCCCTGTCAGTGTCATTCCAGTACATCCAATGTCTTTCAAGGATTTTTTTTTAACTTAGTCTAAAGACTTTGATTGATTGATTGACTTACTGACTGAGACTTATTCTCATCTGTTCAAGACACCAGGGCATCTTATTTACTTTAAGAGGGGGAATAATTAATTGTCTAGACTGACCCCTACCCTAACATGTATATAAAAGTTCATGAATCCACTTTAAATTCTCTGTTCTTCATATATTGAATGTTCATATTTATTGGTAGTTGTTAAGTTTAATAAAAAGAAAATTTAAATTATAAAATAAAAATCACTGTTTAATCTCCAAAAGTCTCATGATGGAAAATGCTATCCACATCCAGAGAAAGAACTATGGAGTTTGAATGCAGATTGAAGCATACTATTTGCTCTTTTTTTTTTCCTTCTGTTTTGTTTTGTTTCCTCTTTCTTGTGGTTCCTCCTATTGGTTCTAATTATTCCTTACAACATAACTACTGTGAAAATATGTTTAATAGGAATGTATACGCAGAGCCTATACCAGATTGTTCAACATCTTGAGGAGGGAGGGGGAGAAAAATTTAAAACTCAAAAGCGTATGGAAGTGAATGTTGAAAATTAAAAATAAATTAATAAAAAAAAACCATGTTGGCAGACAGGTTAAAAAAATAACTGTTTAAATGTGTTAAGTACCTAGAAGACCAAAGAGAGAGATGAAATTGGGAAGGATAGGAGCACTTCTATTGGGGTAAATAGCAAAATCTTCGTGGAGAAGATGACACCTGAATTTAGTATCTTTGTAGCGCTCACCAAGATCCTTCAGGTTCTACTCCTGAAATCACCAGACTTTTCTCACTATGCTCCAGCAGTCTTCTCACCATATAAATTCACTGCTTCCCTTACCTCCTCAGCCTGGAAATTCACTCCACTCCTACAATTCCTTCTTCTGCTTAGTTGTTTCTTCCCAGAACCTTCATTTAAAGGAAAGTGTCCAGGCCAGCCATGTCTTCTTTCCTTTCCTAGCCTCTTCTCTTGACTCCCAGGATTCTCTTTAAAATGTCTTTGCTCATTTTCTGTTTCCTTTTGAACTGCTTTTTGTTTTATACTATGTACTTTTAAAATGCTTTATTGATGCTTTTATTTTGTATGTCTAGCACTCCCTGCTAACTCACCCTTCCCTGTTCTCTGAATAGAAGCTTCCTTTTGTAACAAATAAGCACAGCCAAGCGCCAAATTCAACGTATTGGCCAAGTCCAATTCTTACCTTCTCCCTTTCAGGTTCCTTTTACGTATTGTCTTCCCTAATTAGAATGTAAGCTACCTGAGGGCAGAGACCGTCTTTTCCTTTGACTTGTTTTTGTATTTCCAGCACCTAGCACAGTGGTGTTGAAGCAAGCAATGGACAAACTACCATCAGTTCTGCTATAACTCAACATATTCATTCCTAAAAATCACCATCTCTGCAAAATCTTGCAATAAAAACCACAGGGCTTATGGTAAAAATGGGATTGGGGAACAGTACTCAAAAATTTAATCAGTGAGATAAAAAAAGACAGAAACCTAATAAAAACAGTAGCATAGTGTTATACATGTTAAACATAAATACTACAAGAGATACTGGCAAACAAGGGTGGTGTAAAATAGGCAAGATTAATAAATATATAGGTAGAGGGGCACAGTGACGAAGTTATGACTAGAACTCATTCTGGGAATAAGTATTGAAAGTTGGATAGCTGTTTTTCACACTGTTGTGCCAAAAGGCAGAAATGTTTCCCAGGGGAAAGTCCATTTCTTGTCATCCTTTAGTGTAGCCCTATCTAGCCTTCCCATACCCCTGTGTAGTGATGTCAAGCTCTCTTGAAGAACAACCAACTAAGATAAGCATAGGCTGGATTCCACACATGTAACTGTTGAAAAAGAATGTTAATATCATACCTGGTTATTTCTTCTTTAAGTTCACAGGGATCTTCAGCATAGAATTTGATGCCAAAATAAAAAGTATATGGAGGGCCAGCTAAAAGAAAAAAAAAGGAGTTAACACTATTTAAAAAATAAAATTGAATATGTGTATAGTTTTGTTTTTCTTACATAGTATCTTATAAAGCTTTCCATGCATATGTCATTACAATCTACCTATGATTTTTCAGAAACCTGGTCCTACCCAACATTAAAATTATTTAATTGTTTACTAATTTCTATATAATCTGAACAAGTGTTTTAAAAGCTTTATTATTTTCTTGTAAGCAGTATGAATCAATAAAAAACTATGATATAAGTAGGATTTTAAAAAAATACCTCACAGTTTTAATATAATTGGCAAGAAAATAATTCTTACATTATTTAATTTCACAAGAAAGTCCAAGAATATAATTCCAGGGGCAACTAGAGGGTACAGTACAGAGTTCTGGCCTTGAAGTCAGGAGGACCTGAGTTCAAATCTGACCTCAGACACTTGACACTTACTAGCTGTGTGACCCTGGGCAAGTTACTTAACCCTGATTGCCTCACCAGAAAAAAGCAAAAAAAAAAAAAAAGAATAAAATTCCAATCACAGTCATATGTAACATACAGATAGTTCTTCTGGTCCACAAATGGGTGATAGAGACAGAAAAGGAGAGAAACTAGAGACTGGATTTAGCACAGGCAGGGTGAAGAACGGCAAATTTCTCATGTAGATTAGAAGAACCTACTTATTATATAGGTAATGAGGGACATGATATTCATCTGATAGACTAATTGTGATCTGAAGATTTTCCTGAATATTAATGTTATGTTTTTTCAGAGAGCAATTAGAATCACCTGCAGGACAGGCAATGCTATACTATAATTGAATGATTTATTCTAAAATTCAGTCATGACTGAGTTTACTTAAATACCAATCAAAGTTTGCTTGTTCAAATAAATTAATAAAAATGAAGTACTCATCTAAGCAAAAATGTTTTCATTACAGACTATTTTTAAAATAATTTTTATTACTCTCTTTTATTCTTATATCACCTACATTTCCCACTATATCCTCCCTTTCCCATAAATCTATCCCTTATAAGAATGATTTAAAAAAATTAGGAAGGAAAAAAAAGTACCAAAAAAGTAACTAATATATCAGCACAATCTAATGTTAAATGCAGTATTCTACACCCAATTATGCACTTCAATTATGTGAAGTACAGAAGGAAAGATCTTTTCTCTAGGACTAAGCTTGGTCATTATAAGTTCACAGCATTCAGTTTCAACTGTTAGCTTGGCACATTTTATTTTTCTAGTTGTGCTTACTTTTCTTCCTATCAGTTCATGCTAGTCTTCCCAAGTTTCTCTGTATTTACCACATTCATCTTTTTTTTTTTTTACCATGCAATAATAATCCCTTACATTTATGTACCAAAATTTGTTTAGCTACTCCTAATAAATGAGCAGTTTACTTTGTTTCCAGTTCTTCACTAACACACTCATACACAGAGTTGCTATAAATATTGTAGTGCATATCAGACATTTTTTTATTTTGTCATTTACCTCTTTGGGGTATATACCTAGCAACAGGATCTTTGAATCGAAGTTTATGGACCTTTTGAAAGTCTTTGCACAATTTTAAACTGCTTTCTGGAATGGCTGGACCAATTTACAGTTCCACAAACAACATATGCAACCTTAAGTATTTTCCTTTTTTTTTAACCCTTGACAATTTTACTGGGTGTGATGTGAAACTTCAAAGATACTTTGACCTTCTCTTATTGGTGTTGTGGAACATATGGTTGTTAAAGGTCTTCCATTCTTCTTTTGAGAATTATTTGTTTATTTCTTTTGACCACTGGGGTAAATAGCTTTTGGTCATACATTTATTAATTGCCTACATATCTGGGATATCAGATTCTTGTCAGAGGCATTAGAAAGAAAATTTTTCCTAAATGACTACTTTGCTTCTTATCCTACTTATATTAATATGGTTCATGCAAACAAGTTTCTACTTTTATGTTATAAAAATTATCATTTTTATCTTTTGTGATTGCCTTATCCCTTGTTTGGTTAAGAATTTGCTCCTACCCACTTGATCTTTAATTTTGAGGTTGTGTGTCCATACTGAATTTATTGTGGAATTTGTTGTAAAATATTAATATAAACCTAATTTCTTCCATTTTTCCCCAGTAGTTCTCATCAAAGAGAAAGTTCTTTCCAAGACAATTCACATTTTGGTGTTTATTGAACATTGAGCTGAATTATTTTAGATTCTTCTTTATCTAGTATGTTCCATTAATCTAATTTTCTGTTTTTAACAGATACCTAAGAAATGTTTTATAGTTGTATCTATATGACAGGTATTGAGTGTTCTCTGGTAGATTGACTCCTACATATTTTATGAATTTTGTAATTATTGTGAATTGAATTTCTACTTCTATATTTACCTCCTTGATTTTGTTATTACTATATAAAAATGATGCTATTTCTTTGGGTTTATTTCGCAATTTGCAACTTTACTGAAGCCATCATCTTAATTAGTTTTTTTGCTGATTACCTAAGACACATTAAGAAAATAATCTTGTCATCAACAAGATAGGGAAAGTTTTGTCTTGTTATTGCTTATCTTTATACTTTTAAATTCTCTCCCTTGTCTAATTGCTATTAGTGTCTTGTCCAGAATTCTATTAAATAGTAGTTCCTTTATTTACTGGGAAAGCTTCTGGCATTTCCCCACTGAATACAGTGCTAGCTTTTGATATTAGATATTTTATCATATTAGAAAAAGATTACTATGCCAGATTTTTTTTAAAAAATAAATTTTAATGATATATTTTATTTTCACATCATTAAAATTTCTCTTAGTAACTCTTTCCCCAACTAGAAAACTATCCCATATAAAAAATAATACCTTTAAAAGAAATAAAAGAAGAAAAAAATCATCAAAACAGAGAAAGTCTAAGATATACACATTGTTCCACAGTTATGCACCTCTCACCTCTGAAACAGTGTGGGGTAAAAGTATATTCTTATATTTCTTCTTTGGACCTCATTCTTGTTCTTTGTATTTTTTGCAACAATCACTTTTAATTGTTATATGATGGTTATACGCATGGTTGCAGTCATTGTGTATATTGTTTTCTTGTGTCTCCTTACTTCGTTCTGCATCAGGTCATGAAGATCTTTTTGTACTTCTCATTCATCATATTGATAATTTCTTACAGGACAGTAATATTCCATCACATTCATGTACCACAATTTGTTCAGTCATTCCCCAAGCAATAGGCATTTATTTTGTTTCCAGTTCTTTGCTACTATAAAAAGTACTGCTCTAACCATTTTGTTGTATATGGGGAATTTATTATCAATGACCTCCTTAGGGTATATGTTTAGCAATGACGTTTCTCAAAGAGCATCATGCATATAATTCTGATAATTCTTTTGATTCTTCTGGGCTTGTTCTGAATTCATCATGTTCATTTTAAATTTTGTTAATGCCATTTTCCATTGTCTTCTGATTGTCTGTAAAAGTCAACTAACTCATTTTTTGTAATTCAATTTTCTTAGTAGGTTCTAAGAATCTTCTTTTTATTTTGATTAACAGCTCTCAAAGTCTTTTTGGCTTCATATTTATCTATTTCTCTTGTACTTTTCAATTATTCCTCTTGAACTCATTTTGGGGCAGCTAGGTGGCACTGAGCCTAGAGTCAGGAAGACCTAATTTTAAATTTGGCCTCAGACATTTCCTAGCTGTGTGATCCTGGGCAAGTCACTTAACCTGTGTTTGCCTCAGTTAACTCATCCTTAAAATGGAGATAATAATAGTACCTACTTCCCAGGGTAGTTGGGAGGGCCTAATGAGATAATAATTGTAAAGCGCCTAGCACTATATACATGTTAGCTATTATCATTGTTACTATTGTCATTATTATTATTTGTTGACTTTCTAATTTTTAAGAATGTATATTTAATTCATTAACTTTCTTTTTATTATTGGTGAATATTTTTAAGGATATAATTTTTCCTCTGAGAACTGTTTTGGCTACATTTCAGAAATTTTGGTATGTTGTCTTATAACTGATACTATTTTCCACATAGGTATAATTTCAATGATTATTCTTTGACCCACTCATTTAGACTTTCATTACTAAGTCTTGATTTAAGTGCCCATCTTTTCTGTTCTCTGAATTATTATTTTTATCATATTGTGATTTTAAAAGAATGTATATGTCTGTTTGTTTGCATTTATGTGTAATTTTCCCCTGCCATTATACAAGGTTTTTTTTTTTGGTTTTTTTTAAAATATATGCTCTTTGGTACTGAGAAAGGTGTATATTCTTAGTGGTACTATTCAGAAGGTGGCACTGATCTTTTAGCTCTCATTCTCTAAATTTCTAAAATTTGTGAGGTTTTTTTTTTGCTCAATCTACCACTTTTTTTTGTCTTATTGAACTGTTTTATCTATTTACATTTAAAGTTATGATAATACGAACTGATGCAGAGTGAAGTAAGCAGAGCCATGACAACAGTATACACAGTAATTAGAGCAATGTAAATGGAAAGACCACCACCAAAAAAATAAAAGTAAATGTAGCAAAATTATAAAGATCAAATAGGACTTGAATGAAGGCACATTAAAAGACACTCCCAACCCACCCCTCATTGGAGGTGAAAGGTCCACAGGTGCTACACATTGTACTTGTGTTTTTTCTAAGAAAATTGTATTTGCTTTATTTTCTTCATTAATTCTCTTCCTTTCTATATTCTGAACTTTTATTCTCTGATTTATGTTTTAAATTCTTATTTATTTCTTCTTGAATCTCTTTGTGATCCCTTCTTCCCATCCTGGATTATCTCAGAACCCATCCAGAATGGCTGGGCAGCTGAAAGACTCACCACTACTTGATGCCACTCTACCTTTTTCTCTCCTTCCCTGACTCTGGGGACCACAACCCATTTGAGATGTTTACCTGGCTTAGATGTGATAGGAGTCATCAACTCTATGCTTTCTGGTGTGATGGAGGGGTACTATAGGCCTTACCATCTGCCCTGCCACTCCCTGTTACAGTCTTCTAAGCCTTATCATCTATCTTGGCTCAATGCCTTACAGACCCCTGCCACTGTCATCTGACCTAGTGATATAACTTAAGGACTTCTGAGTCTTGCTATCTGCCCTGCTACAGAACCCTTAGGATTCCTGGGCTTTACTCTGAAGCTGAACTTTGTTTTATGTGTTGTCTCCCACCATTTGAGTGTGAGCTCCTTGAGAGAAGGATGGTCTAACCTAGAGCTTAGCAAAGTGCTTAGCACACAGAAAGCACTTTAAAATGCTTTTTCATTCATTTATTTGTCTTGTTGGTCACATGAACTGGAACCACTCTAAAGACCAGAGGTTCTTAACCTTTGGAAATCTGTTGAAGCCTAAGGACCTCTTCTCACAATAATGCTTTTAAATATATAAAATAAAATATATAAGATTATAATAGAAAGTAATTATACTGAAATACATTTTTCAAATCAAATCAAATCAAAATAATTAAAACATTTTTGAAAATCAAGCTGACAGACAAGTTAAAACTCCTGATATAGACTATTGATATAAAAAATGAGAACAGTCCATTGAGATCCCCTCCCATAAACATACATTTGCACATACACATATACATACAACATGTTATTGTATTCCTCCTTTAAAAATCTAGGAGATGACACAGAAAATATCATTAGACATAATCTCAGTTACATGCTGACTCATAATATTATTTGTATAATTTTTTTCAAATATTATTCAAAATGAGTGTACTAGCTATTCTTAGGAGGAAGTAAAACACTCTTTGATGGTGTATGATCTCATCTAGGTTAAAAGGGAACCACTTAATAAATTGCTGTCTCAGAGACCAGATTGGCATCTTATTGATGTGAAAGAGGAATGGTTCTTAATTTATGCTCTAGAGAAATCTAGCTCATTAGAATTCAATAATAATCTTTTTTTTCCTTTTAATATATAGATTCAGGCTTTCTGACTCTTTAATTTGAAAGCAAAATTTAAAATTAAGGCAGCTAGAAAAGGTACTTCTATGTTACCAGGCCAAAAAACGCCACCAACAAAACAACCCATTTTATCCAAAGGGATAGCACAGCTCACTGTATGAAAGTATTTATTCATTTCAAAAAGTTGTCATCTACTATCACAACCTAAACCATTATTTTGGACATCATATAATTTTCAAATCAAACTTTGATATATCAAAAATTAAATACATACTGTTTATCATTTCTTTGTGTTCTGCAAGGGTTTTTGCAGGATCCAGCCAGTACTGTGTGAGGAAGAAAATAGGTGGTTTGATAAATCAGTTGCTCAGCATGTCACAAAAACATGTACCATCAGCTCTTTTGTTACTAGTATTAGGAGTTATATCAGTTTAAATCAACTCAACTGAACTGAACTAAATCCAAACTCAGCATTTATTATTAAATAGCTATTAAGTAGAAAGGCACTGTGTTAGAAACATTCTTTGCCCAGAATTAATCAATCATCCAATTCACTTTTCTTAACAGCACACATACAAAGGAATTGTAGGTTTTAGGAGTACAAAAACAAAAAGCAAATAGTGCCTGAAAGAGTTTACATTCTAGTGGGGGAACTACAACTCAACAAATATTTACTAAGCAATTGCTAAGTTGTTGAGCATTGTATTAGATGCTCAGGAAGTACAATATTTAGCTAACACAAGGTTCTTGCCTTCACGGAGGTTACAGTCTAAAAGGGTGATATGTCACCCTACCATCCTAGCCTCCAGACTGCCATTTTTGAGGGGAGTGACTCCTCACTACCCCCACCACAAAGTGCTGACCAGGGGCATAGGCAAGTCAGCCTAGCTAAAACAGCAATGTACTCTAAAAGAGACACAAGAGATGTCATGTGCCAAGTGGGTCAAACAACCACCACCACTTTGATCACTACCACCCTTCCTCAGACCTATATGAAGACAGCAGAGGACCCTGATCTCAAGAACATTGGGAATAACAGTTCCACCCACCCAACCTTTAAGATTAGCAGCCTGGCTTCTAGCCAGACCCTTGAAGCTAGGGGAATAGCCTGTGTAGGGATGTGACTTGGCAACTACTTCTTCAGGTTTTGGAGTCCTGGCCTTCTCCGCAGGCACAGCTACTGAAAAACCAGGAAAGAAAGTTCTCATTACCCAAATCTGGCATTGTCAAATGGTTCAGAAACAGAGACATGGTTTTATCAATGGAAATTACACAAAAGAAGACATATTACCTTGTGCTTTGCCACTGAATCCTAGTGACCACTGGGCTTTTCCCTTTGACTTGCAACTGAAACCTCTTATACATAGCATTTCCCCATTAGAAAAAAGTTCCTTGAGAGGAGGGGCTGTCTTTCTCTTCTATTTATATTCTCAGAGCTAATTAGGACAAATAATCTAAACAAAGTCCTACTCTGATGCCTCATCACAGCACAGAGGTGACCAAGGGCTCTTACAGACTATACTAGCCAATGGAGGAGTTCTAGGAACCAAGATGGTGAAGTAAGCAGGAAACTGCCTGAATACTTCCATATTTACCTAGAAACAACTATAAAATAGGGCCTCAAAATGAATTCTGGGGCAAAAGAATCAACAAAAAGATGGGGTGAAACAATTTTCTAACTCAAGCCAATTTGAAAAGTCTGTAGGAAAGGTCTATCTCACTTGGGTAAAAGGGGAGAACAGTCCAGGGCAGGCAGTGTCCTGGCAAGCCAGTGGCAGCCCTTGTCTCAAGCAAGCTAGCAGGAGACCCTGAGCTGCAGGGCAGGTCAATGACTGAGGCCTTGTAGCCCCATTGCTGTAGCCGGTGAGTGGCTGGTACGCTGCCCCCCCCCCCCGCCCCCACTCCAGTCCCAGAACAATACCAAGCCTCCACTGCCTTCTTAGAGATGGATAAACTATCATTCTGGTAAACCTTGTGGGGTTCCTGTTTTCATTTAGTAGCTTCTGAATTTCCACATCATTTTCAACAAACCAGCCCTGATATTTGCTAGTGTTCTGGCCAAGATGAGTAAATGAAGTGCTATATACTAAAACTCTAAAAGTTGCCCACTCCTTTTCTGCTCCACTGTAAGCAAAACAGAAGAGCATAGAACATATTACCTATCAGATTTAAGCATAAAAGAATTTATGAATGAAAAAAATATAGCATTGTAGGATGAATACTTTTATTATATTAAATTAAAAAGATTTCGTACAAATAAAACCAATGTAGCTAAGATTAGAGAAAAGCAGAAAAATTGGGAAAATTGTTATAGACAGTTTCTCAGATAAAGGTCTCATATCTCAAATATACTGAGTCAAATTTATAAGAATATGAATCATTTCCCAGTTGATAAATGGTCAAAGGATATGAACCGGCAGTTTTTGGAAGAAGAAATCAAAGCTAAATATACTCATATGAAAAAATGTCCTAAATCATTATTGATTAGAGAAATACAAATTTAAACAACTTTGAGGTACCATCTCACACCTATGAGATTGGTTAAAATGATAGAAGGGGAAAAAGATAGGTGTTGAAGGGGACGTAGAAAAATTGGGGCACTAATTCATTGTTGGTGAAACTGGGAACTGATCTAACCATTTTGAAGAGCAATCTGAAATTATGCCCAAAGAACTGAAAAAAAGTGGTAGACTGGACAAAAAAAACCAAACCTCACAACTTTTAAAGAACTGCCAGCTAAAAGATTCATGCCACTTTCTGAATGATACCACTAAGAATATATACATTTCTCAGTAACATAGTGCATATATTTAAAAACAAAAAACAAACAAACAACAACAAAAGTCTTATATAACAGCAGAGGAAAACTACATGTAAATACAAGCAATCAGAAATATACTTTCTTTAAAAACCACGCTATAATATAGTAATCAATTCAGGAAGCAGAAAAAGATGGGCACTTTTTATGGTGGCAAAGAATTGGAAATTGCAGGGATGCCCATCAAGTGGGGAATGGCTGAATAAGTTGTGGTATATAATTGTAATGGAATACTATGGTGCTATAAGAAATGATAAGCAGGTTGATTTTATTTTATTTCTTAAATAGTATTTTATTTTTCCCAATTACATGTAAAGACAATTTTTAACATTTATTTAAAATATTTGAGTTCCAAATTTTTTCCCTTCTTCCCTTTCTTTCCCCTCTCCCTAAAAGATAAGAATTTTAAATAGGTTATATATATGCAATCATGTAAAACATTTCCATTAGTCAAGTTGTGAAAGAAGAAATAGATCAAAAAGAAAAACCCATGAAAAAGATAAAAGAAAGTGAAAATGATATACTTCAACTCCACTAGTTCTTTCTCTGAATATGGATAGTATTTTCCGTTCTGAGTCTTTTGGAACTGTCTTGGATCATTGTATTGCTGAGAAGAGCTAAGTCATTCATAGTGGATCATTGCACAATGTTGCTGTCACAGTGTACAATGTTCTCCTGGTTCTGCTTAGTTTACTTTGCATCAGTTCATGTTATTCTTTCTAGATTTTTTTGAAATCTGCTGAGCAGGTTGATTTTTAGAAAAACATGAAAAAGCTTCCATGAGATAATGCAGAGTGAAATAAGCAGAACCAAGAGAATACCGTATATAGTAATAGCAACATTGTTTGAAAAATAACTGTGAATGACTAAGCTATTTATGAACATTTAAATCAATTATGAAGGAAAATGCTATTCACCTGAAAAAAAATGAATATATGGAATTATGTATCAAATACTGGCTTTCTCTAATGTAGGATTGGGGGGAGGGAGGCAACTTGAAACTGAAAATGTAACAAAATAAGATTAAAAATATCTTGGGGGAGGAAATGAAACAAAGAATTACTATTTTAGGGTAAGAAGACAAAAAGCCATTGGTACAAACTGGTAAACATAGTTATGTAAAATCATAAGAGTAATAAAATTTTACCCTTTTTTACCTTTTGTTTATTTTTATTTTTTTATTTTTAAAATTTTACTTTTTTAAAATAGGAAGAAAATAAGCCAAAGCTAATCCAAGACTCATTTAATCAACAAATCTCATGAATAGGAGTCACAGGGTTTTGTAAGCCCTGACTTTGCAATTTAAATAATGCTTTTATGTTCAATAAGGGATAGGCTTCTTGTCACCTTTTAGTATCAGCAAAGTCAAATAGTTTGCTATAGTTTATCTCATCAGTTAAATCATATCTTGCTCTTTAACAACAAATAAAAGAGATTCCAACTCTAGTGCTTACTTTCAGAAGCTGCTTTTTACCCTACAAATACTATGGCCAGATTTAGATATAGTACAGGGGAATGTGGGCTTTGGCTCAAATACCAATATGATTCTCCTCCCACCAACTCTTCTCAGTGAGTGTAGCTCCTTTTTCCCAGGGCCCACCTTCTCAATGGGGCAGACGGCCACTTGTCCTGGGGACCCTCAAGATAATCTAGACCAACAGATAATGAACGTGAGGGAATTATCAGCTAAGGGACAGGTGCTGGCCTCCAATACTACCCCTTCCTCCCAAAATAAATAAAATGACTAAAATGTCCATAACCTTTGAACCGGAGACTCTATTATTAGGCTTATACCCAGTCTTCTTATGCTTTACCTCGCCCCACCCCCAACATTTATTTCAGTCTAGTAAGAATGGATTTCTGGATGTTCCATAAACAAGAAAATACATTTCTTGGCTTTAGGCATTTTCTCTGGCTGTCCTCCATGCCTATAACATTCTCCCCACTCTACCCCCTGACCTCCCTGGCTTCCTTTAAATCCCAACTAAAATCCCACTTTCTACAAAAGTCTTCCCTAACACCTCTTAATTCCAATATTTTATCTCTTTTAATTATTTCCTATTAATCTTTGCTTCTGCCCATAGGAGGATTATTCTTTCCTGTTCTTTGGTGAAGGAGAACTAAAGATGGAACTAATTTGTGGTTTAAAGAGGTTGAAAGAGCCAGTAGTGTTTGCCAGCTGCTGTGGCCACCACAACCCTGATCAGTCAAGTCAGCAGAATGAATTGACTTAGTGGCAAGACTTTGTGACCTGGAAGCCTGAGATTGACTATGTCCATTGATAGCTACAGGTGCTGACAAACTCTACTGATTCTCCCAACCTTTCAAAACTCGTGAGTTCATTCCATTTCCAATTCTCTTTCATCTAAGAACAGGAATATATGCCTTAGGGGTCTTATTCTCATCTCCAACTCAAAATTCAAGTTCCCAATAATTAATTAGCTACATTACCTTCCCTCAAGTTTCTAGAGGGACCTACCCCTGAGAAGAATCCCAATTCTCCTAATG